TCTGTAGGTGTATGTTCAACATGTTCTTGGTGTATGTTTAACATGTTCTAGGTGTATGTCCAACATGTTCTAGGTGTATCTTTAACATGTTCTGTAGGTGTATGTTCTACATGTTCTAGGTATATGTTTAACATGTTCTAGGTGTATGTCCAACATGTTCTAGGTGTATCTTTAACATGTTCTGTAGGTGTATGTTCAACATGTTCTAGGTGTATGTTCAACATGTTCTGTAGGTGTATGTTTAACATGTTCTGTAGGTGTATCTTTAACATGTTCTGTAGGTGTATCTTAGAAATGTTCTGTTGGTGTATCTTTAACATGTTCTATGTGTATGTTTAACATGTTCTAGGTGTATGTTCAACATGTTCTAGGTGTATGTTCAACATGTTCTATGTGTATGTTTAACATGTTCTAGGTGTATGTCCAACATGTTCTAGGTGCATGTTTAACATGTTCTGTAGGTGTATCTTTAACATGTTCTGTAGGTGTATGTTCAACATGTTCTAGGTGTATGTTTAACATCCTCTGTAGGTGTATGTTTAACATGTTCTGTAGGTGTTTGTTTAACATGTTCTGTAGGTTTATCTTTAACATGTTCTGTAGGTGTATGTTTAACATGTTCTGTAGGTGTATCTTTAACATGTTCTGTAGGTGTATCTTAGAAATGTTCTGTTGGTGTATCTTTAACATGTTCTAGGTGTATGTTCATCATGTTCTGTAGGTGTATGTTCAACATGTTCTAGGTGTATGTTCAACATGTTCTAGGTGTATGTTCAACATGTTCTGTAGGTTTATCTTTAACATGTTCTGTAGGTGTATGTTCAACATGTTCTAGGTGTATCTTTAATGTGTTCTGTAGGTGTATGTTTAACATGTTCTGTAGGTGTATGTTTAACATGCTATGTAGGTGTAAGTTTAACATGTTCTGTAGGTGTATGTTTAACATGTTCTATGTGTATGTTTAACATGTTCTAGGTGTATGTTCAACATGTTCTAGGTGTATGTTCAACATGTTGTATGTGTATGTTTAACATGTTCTAGGTGTATGTCCAACATGTTCTAGGTGTATCTTTAACATGTTCTGTAGGTGTATGTCCAACATGTTCTAGGTGCATGTTTAACATGTTCTGTAGGTGTATCTTTAACATGTTCTGTAGGTGTATGTTCAACATGTTCTAGGTGTATGTTTAACATCCTCTGTAGGTGTATGTTTAACATGTTCTGTAGGTGTTTGTTTAACATGTTCTGTAGGTTTATCTTTAACATGTTCTGTAGGTGTATGTTTAACATGTTCTGTAGGTGTATCTTTAACATGTTCTGTAGGTGTATCTTAGAAATGTTCTGTTGGTGTATCTTTAACATGTTCTAGGTGTATGTTCATCATGTTCTGTAGGTGTATGTTCAACATGTTCTAGGTGTATGTTCAACATGTTCTAGGTGTATGTTCAACATGTTCTGTAGGTTTATCTTTAACATGTTCTGTAGGTGTATGTTCAACATGTTCTAGGTGTATCTTTAATGTGTTCTGTAGGTGTATGTTTAACATGTTCTGTAGGTGTATGTTTAACATGCTATGTAGGTGTAAGTTTAACATGTTCTGTAGGTGTATGTTTAACATGTTCTATGTGTATGTTTAACATGTTCTAGGTGTATGTTCAACATGTTCTAGGTGTATGTTCAACATGTTGTATGTGTATGTTTAACATGTTCTAGGTGTATGTCCAACATGTTCTAGGTGTATCTTTAACATGTTCTGTAGGTGTATGTTCAACATGTTCTTGGTGTATGTTTAACATGTTCTAGGTGTATGTCCAACATGTTCTAGGTGTATCTTTAACATGTTCTGTAGGTGTATGTTCTACATGTTCTAGGTATATGTTTAACATGTTCTAGGTGTATGTCCAACATGTTCTAGGTGTATCTTTAACATGTTCTGTAGGTGTATGTTCAACATGTTCTAGGTGTATGTTCAACATGTTCTGTAGGTGTATGTTTAACATGTTCTGTAGGTGTATCTTTAACATGTTCTAGGTGTATGTTCAACATGTTCTGTAGGTGTATCTTTAACATGTTCTAGGTGTATGTTCAACATGTTCTGTAGGTGTATATTCAACATGTTCTGTAGGTGTATGTTTAACATGTTCTAGGTGTATGTTCAACGTGTTCTAGGTGTATGTTCAACATGTTATGTAGGTGTATGTTTAACATGTTTAGTAGGTGTATGTTCAACATGTTCTGTAGGTGTATCTTTAACATGTTCTGTAGGTGTATGTTCAACATGTTCTAAGTGTATGTTCAACATGTTTTAGGTGTATGTTTAGCATGTTCTAGGTGTATATTTAACATGTTTTGTTGGTGTATGTTTATCATGTTCTGTAGGTGTATGTTCATCATGTTCTATGTGTATGTTCAACATGTTCTAGGTGTATGTTCAACATGTTCTAGGTGTATGTTTAACATGTTCTAGGTGTATCTTAGAAATGTTCTGTTGGTGTATCTTTAACATGTTCTAGGTGTATGTTCATCATGTTCTGTAGCTGTACGTTCAACATGTTCTAGGTGTATGTTTAACATGTTCTAGGTGTATGTTCAACATGTTCTAGGTGTATGTTTAACATGTTCTAGGTGTATCTTAGAAATGTTCTGTTGGTGTATCTTTAACATGTTCTAGGTGTATGTTCATCATGTTCTGTAGCTGTACGTTCAACATGTTCTAGGTGTATGTTCAACATGTTCTAGGTGTATGTTTAACATGTTCTGTAGGTGTATGTTTAACATTTCTGTGCATGTATGTGACTAAAGAGTTTGGCTGGTTTCAAATTAGACCTCTACGACTACTGAAACACTGCTGAGCGGGGATAATGTAAACAAAAACAAAAAATCTGAGACCTGACTAACCTCAGGCCCAATGCTGAGATTGAAATGTTACTTCAGTACCCAGCTGCTTATAGATGTTTATCACCAAACACTTAGATGATTCGCGCGTTTTAACCAATTTAACTGGCGGGGTGAATATAATGTACGCATACACTAAGTAGCCTATTACTTTTGAGTTAACAGTAGCGTCACAATGCGTAGTATGTGCCGGGGGGGGGGGGGGGGGTGCGGTCCTCATCGGATGACACAATTTATCGAGTGACACCAAATCGAAAGATCGCATTATTTACTTTCAAAACAATGTGTTTTACTACCAGTTAAAACAATACAGTAGTCAAGGAGAGGGGCAACACCAAACGAAAAACGCAACATTGTTAGAGGGGGTGGGTGACACCTTCAGTTTCATTGTTGGGTGACAAAAGACCTTGCTACATCACTAACTAATTTATATCCTACGGAAAATACACTTATTTTATTTTATTATTTTTAGTGCATTGAAAACCCTATTATTATAAAGGTTTTTGAAATAATATATTGCTATATTGTTAGTATGACTAAAGTCGTAGTCTCGGAAACTATCTTTCGTGTGTCAGTCTGATTTTTACCACTGAGTTCGGCTACACTGTAAGAAAGAGAACTTCTCTGGCACTCAGAGGCGTAGCGACCCTTCCCTGCGCCCGGGGACAAACTTTCAATTTGGCGCCCCCTCGGGAGCAAATTTTCAATTTGCACCCCCCTCAAACTTTCGATTTGCACACCCCCCCCCCCCCCCTCAAACTTTCGATTTGCACCCCCTCAAACTATTTATAATGCAAAAATGCAGCTAAAATGACATTTTTATTTGTTATTACAACCCGTTTTGGCGCCTCCTAAGGTCGGCGCCCGGGGACATATGTACTCCCTGCCCCGCCCCCCCCCCCCCCACCCCCACATCGCTACGCCTCTGCTGGCACTTTATTAATATAAATTAGGTAATATCAACAACGTTAATAAGGTTTTAAGGAAATAAAATGCTGCTTTGGTAAACTAATAGCCTATAGTTTTGTATAATGAGCCGAAAAGGACTGTTTATAATATTCTGATTAGTATTGTATGCCCCACTTTATCATTCCCCATCACCCCTACTCCTAGCCGCTGCACACCACAGAATCATTACGCGCGCGAGCACAATCTCCAGCCTTAAGATAAACAATGCGCCTTACCCCCCCCCCCCCTTGCACATATCGCTCTTTAACACAGCACTGACCGTGCGAAGTTTAACCTAGAGTTAAGTACGTGAGACTATATCTAGACAAACCCAACCCAAATTCATCTACTTAAGATGGACGCCCACAATCGACAATGCTGTTTTAAATTTAGAATTTAAAATTTAATTTTTTTTTAAAGTATGTTGGCTCTTAATGTGGGCGGCTTATGCCAAGCTGACATACGTATATAACACACACCCACAAACACACACACACACACACACACACACACACACACACATATATATATATATATATATATATATATATATATATATATATATATATATATATATATATATATATATATATATATATATATGTGTGTGTGTGTGTGTGTGTGTGTGTGTGTGTATATATATATGTTAGTATGAATGTGACTCTGTATTTATTTATTTTTATATAGACTACCCTGTAGCCCTATACAGTTATAATAGCGTGTGAATTTGTGTTGTTGAAAGTGAGTGTTTGCGTGGGAGAGGAGCTAATCCCGTTAAATCGCCGTTAATGAATCAACACATAGAGGGTCTCGTGCTCCGTAAAGGCCTACCCATGTCTGAATGAACCATTTCCAATTGTTATTCGCATCTCGTTACTGTTGTTCAGATTCTACCATTACTATCATTCTATGTAACTCATAGACAAATCTATTGCATGTGTATATGACTAATATGAGACTTATCATTCTATGCTAAGCTGTTTACACCCTTCACTGCGCTGGTTAGCAAACAAAATAACTTCATGATATGAAGAAGTGCTAGTTCTCAAACTGTGTGAACTGTTATATCCGGGTTATCTGCGCGCTGAGCGAAAAGACAGGAGTGCTTGAGAATCATCGGGGCGAGTATGAAGGCCTGCGTGAGGAAAGACTGCACCCTAAAACGAAAACGGTGAGCACAGGCAGATGTCTATTTTTAACTCGCCACGTACGACTACTGGCCTACATTCTCAGTACCCAGCAAGCCTAACTTCAAGACGTAACACAGAACTGCTGAGTCCAGTAAATAGGTAAATTTATTCACTTACTTTCAGGTTTCTTTTAGTTTTACATACCTCCATCCTCTGCATAAATATCATATTAACATAGATTTAAATGTAATTATAAAATAAGTGGTAACATTTACTGTTAGTTTACAAGTCCATCTATTATTTTCTGAGTCTTTGAGTTGAGCAACGGTGCCGAGTTTTGTTTCCGGAATGTGATGTGGCATGCTGATGAATCATTTTTTTTCTAATTTAAGGGCGTTTCCTTTCACTTAAAACCCTCCCCCATATTAAAAAGGAAAAATTATTTCTCAGCTTTTTGTTGTAAAAAAAAAACAACATTACGCTAGTTTTGTATGGATAAGATAACTACTATAGAATCGAAGTTCGTTTCAGACTTTTCATAATTGGTATATTAAACATTATACCACGTCGTTACTGGACACTGTCTGGACTTTATGCTATAATTGATGTAGCCAATGTAGTTCTATAGATTATTATCCCAGGTTTCATTTTTTAGCTAATTAACTAGCAAAATTTTTTATTGAATTCTAGGTGCTGAAATTGGAAAACATTAAGAATGAAGATTATTTTAGTGGCGCTGTCCTTGGCAGTGGCAGTTATAGCAGATAAGTGCACATACAAATGTGCCAACTGCCCTGTCATTGAAAGAACAGATTGTTTGGCTGGTTTCGATTTGGATCCTGAATGTCATTGCTGTGATATTTGCTCTAGGTAAGTTTATCTAATAGTGTTACAAAAGTGTTGAGATTGTCTTAGTTGTTTTGTTGTATTATTTATTACTTGTGCTTTTTATATATTTCTTTTTTGTTGTTTATATATTTTACTCACATTCAAAATGTAAATATTATAAAGTTGTTTCCCCTTTTTTTTAAAAAAATAATGTTTTCCAGGTTTGAAGGCCAAAAGTGTGATATGCCAGATAGTCCACTGAAATATGGCAAATGTGGTGATGGTCTCAAGTGTACAGAGACCATTGGAGGCAACATCTGTCAGTGTCTCTGGGAGGAAATTGTATGTGCCAACAATGGACATACATATGGGTAATTCAAAGTGGAAAAATATCTACAACAAACTGATGAGGTTATATGTAGGCATTATATACATGCATTTTTTACTCAAAGAAGATCCTATAGAGGCATATATATATATATATATATATATATATATATATATATATATATATATACATATATGAATGTATACAAGTATATGTGTAGGTGTTTGTGAATATTTTTGCATGTGTACAATCATATAGGCCTATAATTATTTATTTCCCCTTAAGAGTGTATTGTATTTAAGAATATGAAACAGGAACTAACCAGACTTTACAAGAATTCCATTGTTTATTAGTCTACAACATTTGTACTGTATATACTTATCATGTATTTCTTTCTGTTCAGCAACTTGTGCCAGATGATTGCTGCTGCTGTCAGAGAGAACAAACAGGACACTCTTGAGGTCAAATCTGTTGGACCTTGTGAACCAGGTCAGACATTAAATTGTTAGCTGCATCCAGTTTTTTAAAAACTTGTGAAACATTATTTCAGAAGTGTGCAAAACAATAGGTTTTTTTAAAACATTACATATCTAGATTTTAGTTGTTTTTTTAAATGTGATAAAAATGTTTTGCAATAAGAAAAAAAATTTAATTACTTGTTTTAGAGTTTCTTTTTAATTTTTTAGTTTCAAATTCAATCTATTGTTTCGTTTAAGGAGCCACAATTGTGACCAAGCCTGAATACGTCCGTAATGCAACAAATGACAATATTGTGCTAACTTGTGAGGCTGTTGGCTTCCCCACACCCATCATTAAGTGGAATGTTACTAAATCAAATGGCAAAACCTATGAAATGCCAGGTAATGAAACCTCTTTGTAACTAGATTAACTTTGTTGAACATATATAATATATATCCATATTTACTAAACCAAGTAAATACCTTCATTATGCCTTAATTATTTTTACAAATATAACTTATATTACTGATATATTATTTACTAGATAAGTAGAATATAATTTTGAATGTGGTACTTCACAGGTGATGACAGCCATGTTGTCACCGCCTCCAGGGGTGGGCCAGGTAAGTACCAGGTCACAGGTTGGCTCCAGATTGAGAAGCTGATGAAGCGTCATGAAGGGGACTACACCTGCATAGCAATTAACTCACATAATGAAGACACAGCCAAGGCTAGGATCAAGGTCATCAACTAAATTAAGGTATAACCTATTAATTTAAAAAAAAAATATTGAGTTCATGACTCAATAATGTTACTACAGCTACTAGATTGATTTTACCCAACAATGTTTAAATCTCATTTTAACTAAAAAAAGGTATAATTTGCATGCATTATATACATTTTTACCTAATTCTAATAAGTAATTTATTAAAGTTTCTCTTGTATTTCAGACTAATGTTCAATAAGGCATTAATTACATCAACAGAAAACAAGTGATGCATATACTTTTTTTTGTCTAAAAACGGTGCTATTATTTAAGGTTATCTACCATTATTTCACTTCTTATGGTGCTAATGTTTTATATTGATGTATTTTTTACAAAGTTGCCTTATAGCTTTTATTTTCTATAAAGCTTTTTGAAAGGTGTTTATTTTGTATTTTTAAAATCTTTTATAATTATTACAGTTAATAGATTCTGAGTTTAAAATTAAAAATAAACAATGTATTTACAGTGAAGTAATTTTAAATTCACCATTTTGTTTTCAAAATTTGCATGAATTTATTTTCTTTTTGTTTAGATCAAATATAAAGGCTGAAATAACTTTACACTATGCCATTAATCAGCATTCATTCAAATGTAGATTATATATTTAACTTTCTTAACATGCCTTTACAAATCAACTGCACTATTCCATATGTGCCAAAGTTTCTGGTTGTACATATTATGCTAAGAGTGCATGTAGAGATGTTTAGGTATTTTAGTTTTAAACAACAAAATTTACTTTCTTACTTTTTGTTCAAGTTTATCTAAGAAATATAGTAATTCATAAACGTTTTGGGAAAAAAATCATGTAATCTAAGATTATACTAATGTTTGTTTTGTAAGTAACTGCAGAAGTTGATGTTTTACAATAACAGCAACACTTGGCTGGCAGGTTAAACAACGAATCAATGTCTTCCTATTGTATCTTACTACATTTTTGTTAATACTACTGTAAAATTTATACTATTAATATGTGTCTTTACGTTTTGAACAGGAAATTAATTAGTTCTTAACTTGCTTTATTTAAAAAAATATTTTTGGCTATTATTTAAATATAGTAACATATCACATATTGGTAAAAAAAATATTTTTAAAACAACTTGTTGGAAAACCACTATAAATCAAAACAATTTTTAGATTCTCAAATATTTTTACAATTAAAATTGAATTTCTCTTTTTTATGTTTGTTCATTTGAGATTTGTATGTCTTAAAGTGTAGTAAAAAAAAAGTTGTATTATCACAAGAGGCCGCGATATTTTAGTCATAATGTGTAGGCAGTAGCGTAGCGAAGGGGGGGGGGGGCGGGGGGGGTACATACGTCCCCGGGCGCCGACCTTAGGGGGCGCCAAAATGGGTTGGAAAAATAAATTGAAATGTTGAGGGGGGTGCAAATCGAAAGTTTGAGGGGGGGGGGTGCAAATCGTTTGTCCCCGGGCGCCGGGAAGGGTCGCTACGCCTCTGTGTGTAGGCCCTAAGCATCAGAGGTAATATATGACGTCACATATTTATGGGCAGGCGTTTCTTTCAGACTATCTGTGGTGGAGAGGGGGGTAGGGGCACTTGAAATTCTTCGGGATGGGCGAGGAGGGTGGACAGTAGTTAAAGTATTTTTTTTTGTTTAAATTACATGTATTTTCTATTTCATCCAGCGATGGGGGTGGGGGGGGGGGGGGGGGGGCGGGGCGGTGGACGTATCCCGGAGAGATGCCTCAAACAAACACTTGTACAGACTACATCGGTGGACGGTGGGGTGGGTTTAAATTCAATTTTATACTTAGTAAGTTTCTTATGCCATAAACGGTTTGTACTATTAGTTGGCTGTTCCCTTGGTTAGGAGTCAGCTGATCTTAAGAGAAAAAAAAATAGTCCACCCATTAAGGGGAGAGAAGTGTGTTTTTCCCCGATACAAGTGTGGATTCTCTGTTCTGCTGGAATGTTGATAATCGATAAATTCAAACAAGTGTGAGCTGATGATAGATAAAACGAGTGTTAAAAAACAATTATAATAATAAGGTTTTAAATGTACTGAAAAAAAGGGGAAAAAAACTCTCTTTAGTAAAAGCATTGGTATCTCTAGAAACCTTTTACACATTTTAGTGACCAATGCTTTTACTAAAACGGGAAAGTTTTTTCCTAATTTTTTAGTGCATTTAAAAGGAAATTATTAATAACACTTTTTTTAAACTAATTTTATTTTTAACTTTTTAGTATTTAATAATTAAAAATTGTAAAGATACAAGAGTAAACAGATATTTTAGTTTTAATAACACTCAGAACCACCTTTAAGCCCTATTTTTTTTTATTCGTTTAACTTTAATTATGTTGACACACGCAACTAAAACATATATGCCTTGTATCTCGTTCGCACTCTAAACGATAATTATCTGCCCCTTAGTCCACTCCGTGACTAAGATGCGTGAATACAGCTAGCACGACTGATCATGTAAAATCTAGTTATCTCTAAATAATCTTTAAATAAAGTTTAAATGACTAATTTAGTATTTATAATTATTTTAAAATTTAGATTTCCTGGCATTCTTATCGGATAAAAAATTTTGAACGACATCGTTGCATTACACGAACCCACAAACTGAGACTCACGCACTAAATCTAACGTTGATTGAAGAAAAATTAACACAGTGCAGAGAGCATTTCCAGAGAGAACCCAACCAACCATTTTTCTAAAGAAATCTTTGTAAAACATATGATCAACCAACGCTTTTACGGTTAAATGAATTATTTTATTGAAATTAAAAGCTTGTAAAAATAATAAAAGTTATAACAAATGTATATATGCTCAGAATGGTGTGGGCGTTGTTTCAGTGTCAATATTAGCTGAACAGACTGTGAATGAAACCTGCTCGCCATCTTTATTCGGAGACAAGGAACATATCACACTGACCGACAACTGGGCCGTGGTTGAGGAAAAACAAAATATCTCATTAAATATTTACCAATCTAAGCGTTTTTAATCAGGCCACGTATCAAGTGAAATCAAATGAGATTTTTAAACTGTGTTTTACTTTTTTCTGAACTAACTCTCTTACATTTTAAATGATGTATGTGCGTCATCGTTGTCTGTTAAGGCCTTGTTTTCTGATAAATGGTCCACTTTCGTACAATTAAAAATAGTTAAAGATTTTAAAATAGGATTGTATTTCATAGTGAGATCGAGGCTTAATTCAAGGGTGTATATTAGAGTTTCTTTCAGGCAGGAAAACTTTTGTTTTCAGTTCTGTAAAGTTTGGAAACCTCAGTAGTTATCAAAAGTCTGCAAGTAGCCTAGTGGGTCTACACATTTCATATCAACTTTACAAAACCTCTCTTTACAATTTATTTCTGTTTTAATATTTTTGATAGTAAAACAGACCACGAGAAATCGTAATTCTTAGTTAGGTATTCGGACCTTTTAAATTTTAAAATTTAATTTTTTTAAATATTGGTGGGTGTTTTATTTTTTAGTTACATTGTTTTGGCCCAGTTGCAGACAATAAAATGAAAAATTGGCCTAATTAAATTATCTGATTTTATCTAAGACTCATCATAATAAGTAAAGTTCTCTTTTCAAACCCTGACGATCTATAGGGCAAGTCAAGTAGAGTTCACTTGTTTCTGTGAACTCGGCACATAAAGAGATAGTGTGGTCAGCACTATGCCCAGCCGCCTTTACTTTCCCTAACGTGAGTTAGGTACCCATCAGAGTTGGGTAGACTCAGGGACGGCCTACTTACTTGGTTAGCAGTCCAGCTCTCTACCACTAGACCACTCCGTCCCTACTCATCATAATACTTCCTCGTATTTTGTCATGGACACGCCTATGCTTATATTCTTACTTTGTTATAGACACACTTATGCTTACTAAACACACCTCCTCGAACTTTGTCCTAGACACACGTCCCCGTAGTCATGGACACACCTATGCTTCACCTCTTCGTACTTTGTCCTAAGTCTCAGACACAATGGACACATCTATGTTTATGTCACGTGTGACCCATGGCAACCATAACACAAAAAATAGATCATTCATACATGATACATGTCCCCGTTTGAAATAAATAATGAGAGCTGAGTAATTAAAAAGTTGGACTAAATTTTCCATGACGTAGCGCGGAATTTCAGAATTATTTTGCTGCGATTTATAATTCTGTAACTACAAATTAATTAATACCTTGGCAAATTAGACTTAATTATTCACAGGCGTAATGATGCCCAGTTTACACGAGTAAATTATTATGGAAAGATAACCAGTACTATACTTTTATAGGTCATCCTGACACAGCGGTCTAACGATCTATTGGGTCAATCTCTTCAATGGTTTAATATTCCATTCAAGAAATACATTGTGCATGTTGTAAAACTTTGAGTATTAATATTCCATTCAAGAAATACATTGTGTAAAACTTTGAATATTAATATTCCATTCAAGAAATACATTGTGTTGAAAAACGTTTAGTAATAATATTCCATTCAAGAAATACATTGTGTTGTAAAAATTTTAGTATTAATATTCCATTCAAGAAATACCTTGTGTTGTAAAACTTTTAGTATTAATATTCCATTCAAGAAATACATTGTGTTGTAAAACTTTGAGTATTAATATTCCATTCAAGAAATACATTGTGTTGTAAAACTTTGAGTATTAATATTCCATTCAAGAAATACATTGTGTTGTAAAACTTTTAGTATTAATATTCCATTCAAGAAATACATTGTGTTGTAAAACTTTGAGTGTTAATTTCGTGCACGTTATTAATTAATTCGTTCTTAATGTTTTATTGATTTTATTGAGCAGATGTTCTGTTTTTATAAGATCTTATTTAGTTCACATTGTCTGTCACTTTGTCCGTCTGTGGGTTTGTAGCAAATCATTGTGAGTTCATTTTGACCCACTTTTAATTTAGCGATTACATTACTAATTGGGCGTGGATGGTTGGGTTGGTGTGATGTGATGTCGTTGTCTTTTGACTTTGAAATCATTTCATTTAATAGAAAACACATGAAGCAACTATATTAGAAAAATCATTAAGTCCCCTCGGCTCATGATGATTTAAAAGTGTAATCATTCAACCATTCTAACAGGAAAAAAATGAAATATTATAAGAGACAAATAAATCTAAACTAGTGTTATTTTATATTGATTTTTACCACCGTCCCAATATACTAAGTATAAAAGATAACTAATTTATCTTTATATAATACTATGTGCACGTTTCATCCTCGTGTTACCTTTATATAAATGAGCGAAGGATCGATAACTTTATTTCGATTGTTTCCCTTGGTATCGCTTTCATGCCTACGTGATTCTCGGCTGTCGCGACAGTATTATTAAATAATCGCTTTAATGATTTTTTTATCTGAATGTCACTTGTTTCTCCTTCATCGATCTGGGTCAGTGTACTTACTGCACAATAGCACTCTACATCAATGCTCTACACAAAAAGCTACTATACAACAAAGTACTACACAGAAAAGTACTATACAACAACACACTACAAAAACACCTACTACAGAACATCGTACTACAGAATACCCTACTACACAAGAACGAAATACATAACAACCTACTAGACAACAAAGTACTACACAACAAAGTACTACACTACAACAAACTAATGAACAACAAAGTACTACACTACAACAAACTACTGAACAACAAAGTACTACACTACAACAAACTACTGAACAACAAAGTACTACACAACAAAGTACTACACAACAACAACGTATTACACAAAAAGTACTACATAACAAAGCATTACATTACAACGTACGATACACAACAACGTACTACACAACAAAGTACTGCGCATCAAAATACTACACAAAAAAGTACTACACTACAACAACGTACAATACACAACAATCTACTACACAACAAAGTACTATACAACAAATTACTATACAACAAAGTACTATACTACAACGTACTACTCAACAACGTTCTACACAACAAAGTACTATACTACAACGTACTACACAACAATGCACGTTGCAGAATGTCCAAAACAATCCACAAGGTTATATGAAAACGGAACAGGCAAGTATCCATTAAAGAAATTGTTTTCGATATAGCCAAAAGGAGTTGTAATTAAACTCAGTGACTTGTTGACTTTCTGATAAGAAGCAACTCTGGACTTGTAGAAAACAAAATCATTGGCCTGGGTGTATTGATTAAAAACTCAACATGGATGGTTGGAAACGTGAGAAAATTATTCTGATACTCTAATTAGATGAACGGGTGGGGGAGAGGGTGGAAAGGGTGGAGAAGAGGGTGTAGGAGAGGATGACAGAGAGTGCGGAGGAGAGGGCGAAGGAGAGGGTGGAAGAGAAAGTAAAAGATTAACAATGAAATGTTTGCATGTAGAAGTTATATTTAAATTGTTTTTGTTTTATAAGAAATAAAACAGTCTCAATTCGCAGAATGTTTTGGAAATATATCATTTAAGCATCAGCGATGTTCTGCTTTGTATTCACGCAGTCTTGTTCATGTAAGTTAATGCTAGTTATGAATACTTATTCATTCAAACATTATCCAACTTATTTTTATCATTTCAACTAGTAATGCAAAATACAGTGTGTTTTTTTTTAAAGAAACATGTGTACTGCAGTTATCAGAATATTAACAGAGATGCAGTATTATGCAAGTTTCTTAAAGTTATTTTTAAATTCCAAAAAAAAATAGTCGCGCTTAAAAAAAAAATCTTTTATTTTAAAAACACATTTCTGAGAGTTTAAATGTAATTAGTAATTATTTTAAAATAAAACAAGAAATTAAATTTTTAAAAATAACGTCAATTATTCTTTTTTAAGAACACGGCCCATCGAAAACAAAGATTTAATTGGTTAAAAATGTTTTAAAACGCCATTAGCTCTTTATGGCTACATCAAATTAAGTATTCTAGGTCAGCACTGAAACAACTAGGACACTTAGGTCAGCGGGGAGAGCGGACGAGGAAGCTTCGGTTCTGCTCACCGTCAATGTTTGATCAAGTTAAAATAACTGCTCTCATCAATTATCTATACAATATTTGTTTTCTTTACGAAGCTTTAACATCCCCCCCCTCACCCCACTCACACACTCACTCACACAAACATGCTATTTGGGCTTTGGTTCGAGTTGGTGTTTTGTCTATATATAGATTGAATTAAAAGAGGATTTTGTGGAGACCAGTTTCAAACTAAACTGAGGTTGAGGGGCTAGGTGCGAGTGGTACAATCGGTGAAGCAGAAAATACAAGAATGGAAAGACAACTTCAAATGAAATGGCAAATTATCTTTATTGTATTAACAATCCTTCGATACACTTCTTCGGCTGGTAAGTACTTGATTCCAGTTACCTTTATAGAGCTGTAATTATGATATTTGTAGACATTTACTTTCTTGCTCAGCTCAATTTTCTAAATTCAGAACGTTAAATCTCCCGTTTTGCTTATTATTTTAACCTTTACAAACTAACACCAAGTCATTAATTCTATATACAAACAATGTTCCCCTTTTAGTGGCAGTTAGCCTGTTATTCTATTAGAATATAAGCTGCTGACAACAGGCTTCCACGAGACTCCATCCTGGGTTACTTTCTCCAACTGTCCCCAGTGGTAACCCATCTTTCTTGTGCTAGTTTCTCCAACTGTCCCCAGTGGTAACCCATCTTTCTTGTGCTAGTTTCTCCAACTGTCCCCAGTGGTAACCCATCTTGCTTGTGCTAGTTTCTCCAACTGTCCCCAGTGGTAACCCATCTTTTTTGTGCTAGTTTCTCCAACTGTCCCCAGTGGTAACCCATCTTTCTTGTGCTAGTTTCTCCAACTGTCCCCAGTGGTAACCCATCTTTCTTGTGCTAGTTTCTCCAACTGTCCCCAGTGTTAACCCATCTTTCTTGTGCTAGTTTCTCCAACTGGCCCCTGTCGTAACCCATCTTTCTTGTGCTAGTTTCTCCAATGGTAACCCATCTTTCTTGTGCTAGTTTCTCCAACTGTCCCCAGTGGTAACCCACCTTTCTTGTGCTAGTTTCTCCAATGGTAACCCATCTTTCTTGTGCTAGTTTCTTCAACTGTCCCCAGTGGTAACCCATCTTTCTTGTGCTAGTTTCTCCAATGGTAACCCATCTTTCTTGTTCTAGTTTCTCCAACTGGTCCCTGTCGTAACCCATCTTTCTTGTGCTAGTTTCTCCAATGGTAACCCATCTTTCTTGTTCTAGTTTCTCCAACTGGTCCCTGTCGTAACCCATCTTTCTTGTGCTAGTTTCTCCAATGGTAACCCATCTTTCTTGTGCTTGTTTCTCCAACTAGTCCCTGTCGTAACCCATCTTTCTTCTGTGGCACTGCAAGTCACGTTTCCAGGATTCTCATCCCTTGTCTACTTTTTCCCACGTTTTCTTTAACTTGCTTTCGCGTCTTTCCAATCAAATCTTGCGATCGAAATTTCGGGGACTTCCCAGTTAGCTAGCGCGCTGAAATTTTCAGGGAAGCTTTGTTTCCGATGACAATAGAATATTCAATTGTTATTATTACTAAATAGATACATGGAAACATTTTATTGATCATTTTAGACCGCTATATAATTGTACAAAAAACGTGGGGGGAAAGGGACATAACCCAGTAATTGTAATTTGATGAAAACAAGGTTCGGTACTCTCCCTCTTTTTGCTTACTGAGTAGTTGTCACGCGGTGTTTGTGTACAAACAACCAGAACGTAACAACTGGTGGCCAGTATGGGGGAGACGATATGGTCGAGTGGTTGGGCACACGATTGCTAACCCACTCGACACGGGTTCAAGGCACGTGTTTTTTACGAGTTCTCTTCGTTTACCCAAAAAAAAAGTGAATGCGAAAAGATAACATCTTTAGCAAGATTTTAAAGCAAACAAACAGACAAAGACTAAAAAGTAGAAAATAATTATCATTAAAAAAGTTTTAAAAAACCCACGTTTTCTGATTGAACTAAAAAGTAGAAAATAAATGCTATACATCACAATAATGCAAGCGATCACTCTACTATAAGCGATGAAAAACGTGGGGCGCCGTGATTTTCTTACAGTTTCTAATACTGTTGACTCTCTACAAGCTCCCTAATAAAAGTCAATAGTATTATCTAATCAATAGTAATATAACTTTTACATCTTATATTAACAATGACCGATAAAAAACTTTTACTTCGGCGCGCACGTTTTTCATCGCTTATAGTAGAGTGATCGCTTGCATTATTGTGATGTATAGCATTTATTTTCTACTTTTTAGTTCAATCAGAAAACGTGGGTTTTTTTAAACTTTTTTAATGATAATTATTTCCTCGTGGAGACTGCTTCGTATTGTGAGTGTGTTTTCTTGTACACATCGTCAGCTACATAAGGGTTAGGCTCCGAATAAACTCCTTCATTAATAAGCCGTTTTTAATTTATTGGTGTGGTACTTAAGGGAAAATATTTGCATACAACTGTGACTCTTCTGAAAATATTTTTACCATTGCTACAGTGGCCATCTTGAAAAAAAAAACTTTTGTGGAGGTCTCAAGGTTCAGACTAACATATATATTGATCAATTTATCATATCATCATTTAATCCTTCTTCTACTAGCTCTAATAGAGTCAACAGGCTAATTTTTGTAACAGAAAACAGTCCAGAAATATCTTTTTATCGAATTTTCTGACTTTGTAATCGTTAATTATAATTTTTTAAAAATTTTAATGGGTTTTTATTTATCCTCATATATATATATATATATATATATATATATATATATATATATATATATATATATATATATATATATATTAATATATATATATTAATATATATATATAATATATATATATATATATATATATATATATATATATATATATATATATATATATATATATATATATATATATATATATATATATATATTAATATATATATATTAATATATATATATATAATATATATATATATATATATACATATATATATATATATATATATATATATATATATATATATATATATATATATATATATATGTATGTATATATACAAGATTTGTATATATATATATATATATATATATATATATATATATGTATATATATACAAGATTTGTGTCGTATTCCATTTGCCTATTTTTACTCTCGCAGCTCCAAAATTAGATGTAGCATCTGCCCAGGAACACGGTCATCAGGCCGAAGCAGCAATACACATACCCGTTATCCCCACCCAACATGTCTCCCTTGTAGTTGCTAATCCTGTTAACACCGGCGCCAATGTTGCAGTTAATCCTGTCAACACCGGCGCCAATGTTGCCGTTAATCCTGTTAACACAGGCTCCAATGTTGCAGCTAATCCTTTCAATACCGGCATCAATGTTGCCGTTAATCCCGTCAACGCCGGCGCTGTTCCGCAGAAGCCGGAGACGTCTGTAAGCGTCGATGTTGGAGTCGCCAACGAGTCGGCGTCGGTGAGCATTTCGTTGGACAACAGTGGGGGCGCGGGCTCTGTTCATGTCAGCCAAGCGCCCAGCATTCACCCTGTGGCACAAGACACCACCACGCTGAGAACCATTCTAGCGGGGTCACTATCGGCGTCACAAGCTGGGTCACCATCGGGGTCACAAATTGGGTCACCATCGGGATCACAAGCAGAGTCACAAGCAGGTTCACCGTCGGGGTCACAGGCAGGGTCACAATCGGGGTCACAAGCAGGATCACAAGCAGGGTCACAAGCAGGGTCACAAGAAGGGTCACAAGCAGGGTCACAAGCAGGATCAACACAACAAGGGTCTTCTTCCACGAGCACAGGAACTTCAGGCGAAAGCTCGGAAACTGGCGATCCAAATTTAGGTAATTACATTTAAATTATGATCCTATTTTATGTAATTACATAGCAATGGAAAACAAATATTTGAATACTGTATCTGTAAAAAAAGAAAAAAAATTATAAAAAAAACAGACTAACAATTTTTTACTTCTTTAACATAATAAGCCATACGACAATCTAATACCTTCCTACATAGCCGGGGTACTCTGCTATGAGGACAGTCCACAAGTTGTAGAGCGGAACTTACCATGCAACGAGAAACAACTACGCAAGTCTGATCTGACAGCCCAGCACTTGGTCCGACTGTTGCGCAATGAGGGGGGAAACATCATCAGTGATCTGATGTCTGCCGAACCCCCGGGACATCTGAGGTTGTCGGGGCTAGAGAATTCCCCGTGGGTGAGTATCCGTGTGTGTAGCTGAAGCAGTGGCGTAGCGAGGTCGGGTGTCAGAGACGTAGCGACCCTTCCCGGCGCCCGGGGACAAACTTTCAATTTCGTGCGCTCTCCGGATCAACCTTTCAATTGTCGATTTGCACCCCCCTCAAACTTTCGATTTGCACCCCCGCCCCTCAAACTTTCGATTCGCACCCCCCTCCCCTCCACCCTTGTCGGGATTTGTCATTGTCAAATTTGCTCTTAAAAAACTATTTAACACTCGAATTAATCACTTAATTAAGTGGAATTATCATTTTTCTCTATATTTTGCTATTTTTTGCCTTGGTGTCACCCCCCCCCCCCTAAATGGTGTCACCCGGTGCGGCCCTCATCCACCCCCGCCCCGCCCCCCCCCCCCCCCCCCTCGCTACGCCACTGAGCTGAAGTACGAATTTTACGGTTTAAGAGAACACCTAGGGAATTACGGTAACGGGTAGTCGACTCATGTTAGTGAAAGTAAGGACAGTTGGGCGTAGTGCTGACCACACCACCATACCTCCAGATGCCGAGGTCAAGAAACATGAACTTTACTTCATCTGCCCGATAGATCTTTATGTCTAACAGGGGAACTTTATTTACTTAACTTGAGGTGCCATGTCATTTAAAGACGACCCATAACTCTTTATTTGAATAAGTTTATTTCAACCACATTTTTTAAATTATTATTCGGTTCCATCAAATATCTTTTAATTTAACAATTTCTTTTATTTTCTAAAAAAATATGTTTTATTTAAATCAAATAACCATTAATTTAACACTATCTTTTATTTTCTAAATGACTTATCTAGTTTAATCAAACATTATTTTTGTGAATTTAACAATTTCTTTTATTTTCTGAATGATTCAAATAGTTTAATCGAACATTATAGTTGATGAGTTTATCAATTTCTTTAAATTTCTGAATGATTTTTTCAAATTAATCACGTCTTGGATTTGATCATCATTCCTTTTATTTTTTTAAAGAATTATTCAGAAAAATAGATGAAGAATGTAACAAAAAATTAAAACAAAGATTTATTCAGTTCAATCAAATATCGTTTAATTGAACCATTTCTTTTATTTTCTAAACGATTGATTCAGTTCTATCAAATATCGTTTAATTGAACCATTTTTTTTATTTTCTAAACGATTGATTCAGTTCTATCAAATATCGTTTAATTGAACCATTTCTTTTATTTTCTAAACGATTGATTCAGTTCTATCAAATATCGTTTAATTGAACCATTTCTTTTATTTTCTAAACGATTGATTCAGTTCTATCAAATATCGTTTAATTGAACTATTTCTTTTATTTTCTAAACGATTGGTACAGTTCAATCAAAACTCGGCCGAACTTATCTCCAAACTAGACAACGTCCTGCATCATCTACGCGAACACCACCATCATCTACGTCAAAACGTCCGCCAGTATCTCTCTCTCGTCAGCCTCACAGACATATCGTCTTTAGCTCTTTCTTTACTTGACACAATGAGCTCAACCTTTGGAGCTAACGTGTGCCCAGTCAACACAAGTTTGAAAGTTCTCAACGAATTCGATGTTCACGCCCTGACATACTCGTGTGTCAAGCTCGCGCGGGAAGCAGAAAATTTGACTTTTGTGGGATCACAGTTTAAAAAACAACTCTCCCGCACTGAGTACCTATCAAATACAAGAACAAACCAACTCAATAACCAGGCTACCACCAACTACAATACCGACAACAACGTCAATAATTTAAACAACACGGTGTATGACGAGGCCATCGACGATTTGTTAGAAACAGTGAACACGGTAAAAGAAAGATCAGACCACATTGTAGAGTTGCATCGTCTTCTCCAAGACACTGTCTCCGGTTTCCATAGTTCCCTGTCACTTTTAAAGACAGGGCTACACCAAGTTTTAAACAATGGAAAACTACCTGGTTCTGAAGCTTCAAATGAAATCCCAACACAGGATAAATCGTCAGGTTTATCTCCAGACGACAAATATTTGAGCTCGACCTGGAACGCGTCAGCAGAAGACATCATCGTGAGGTATAATTTAACCTGGTTGCAGCAAGATCTAAAGCAGAACATCACTGAGGTCATTGGAAGCCTACAAGCTCTGATAGCCAGCGTAAATTATCTTGAAGAGCTGTTGAGCTCGGCCAATGTCACTGAGCCGGTGCAAGACCCACTGTTAGATACAATGGCGAATTGGAATCAAATGAAGTCACGGACCAAACGAAGCGCTACAGGTCAGTATTCTTATTGTAGTATATTTTACTTTATTCATAAAAGTATGTTCTTATTGTTTTGATATTAACGGTTAAGTAGTTTTAAAATGTATACAAGAGTTGCAGCTTGTAATGGATTTCATAACAGGATATGCTATTTCATTTTTTTAAAAATACTATCTTTAAAAGGTAGATAGGTTAGCTTCTTGCCCTAATAGGATACACGCCGCTGACAAGAGCTTTTCAGGCATCTCTGTCCTGAGCTAGTCTCTCCAAATGTCCCCAGGTGTATCCAATCTTCTTGGTGTCTTCTTCCAGGTCACGTCTCCAGGTCTTTCTTGGTCTGCCTCTTTTCCTCCTGCCCTGTGAATTCCAGGTGAGGGCTTGTCTTGTTATGCTGGATACAGGCTTTCTGGGTGTGTGGCAAATCGATCTCCATTTTCTCTGGAGGATCTCTTTTTCAGCTGGTTGTTGATTTGTCCGTTGCCATAGTACCTCATTTCTGATGGTGCTATGCCAGTGTATTCAAATTATCTCTCTGGGGCATGACTTTATTAATGACTTATTGAAAGTATGACTATATCATTGTGATGACAATTCCCCCCCCTCCCACCCGCACCACTTCAAACACTAACCTAAATAGCCAAAATTAAGATCGCACTGAAAGTGTTCAAGTAAATCAACCTTTTTCTGGTTTAGAACAAGGGATGATAACACTTAGGCCTATATTCAACAGAACTTAATACTTCAGTTGTTGTTGTTTTTTTTTTATTGCTGGTCCTTTCTTTAGGAAATTAATAATTATTTTGAACAGTCCACTGAGACGAAATTAATCTTTTGACATAAACTCATATATCTGAAAATTGTTTCTATTCATATAAATTATACACTTCTATAAAACCTTCGCGCCTCCGTTAGCAATAGACCAATGTGAAAAAAAGGCTTCTATGCCTGCCATTGTTACCGTTATAACATTAATTTTTATTGTTACTATATCAATTTTGTTATCATTATTAGTCCGCGCCTTTCAGATTGGAAACGTCTAGACAAGGACTACTGTCACTATCTCCTACAATTTATAACATTGATATTTCTAAGCAAAAGCTCTACGACTATTACTTTTTTTTAAAAGACATGCTCTTTGCAGAGTTTCTTCCAGGCATCTCTTCGGGGGGGCAAAGCCCCCCCCCCCCCCCCCGAACGAAATGAAATTTATATAATTTATATAGAAAATATATACTTTTAACAGTGTCCGCCCCCCCCCCCCAACCGAAGAAAGTCTACCGCCCCCCCCCCCCCCCCGAAAATTTCAAGTGCCCCCCCGGAGAAAAATGTCTGGAAGAAACACTGGCTCTTTGGCCTTTTGCTCAAGTGGGTGATTGCATGAAAATGTGATTGCATGAAAAATGTGATTGCCCGAATGACAGACGTTCGAAAATCGATTGCTAGAAAATGTATTAAAGTAGTACGAGCAGTCGGCCTTGTACAAACAGCGTAAGTGACACAAAAGTTCATCTCCATTTGTTGTATAAAATAAACGTAACCCTACATGCAGGAATAACCGTGTCTGGCGAGTCGTGTCAGAGACAAGGCAACCTGATTGACCAGACCAACTACGTCAGTCTGTGTACGACCTGTGTCCACACCACCGTGCTGGACAACAACTACTTCCCCCGGTACCTGACGGAGAAGATCTGCGGACACGGCAGAAACACCAACCCGAACTTCCAGGACGGATGTCTGTTTACTCCCGGTCAATGTAAGTCTTATTTTACGTGAGAGTCTGTCGAATATAGTCTGTATGGCGGCTTGATGTATAGTTCTTTGATAATGTAGAACAACTGTCTGTATTGTTCTGATTGTTTGTTTGGGAACTTGGTGTATAGTTCTTGGATCATGTAGAACAACTAGTTATATTGTTCTGATAATTTGTATGGCGACTTGATGTATGGTTGTTATTGTATGTAGAACAAGTAGTTATATTGCTCTGTGTGACAATCCACACACTCGGCTTGAGTCTGTAAGACTTCACTGAGTTCACCCAGCTCTAATGGGTACCTGACTCACGTTAGGGAAAGTAAAGGCGGCTGTGCATAATGCTGACCATACTATCCCTTCATATGCCGAATTTACAGAAACACAGAAACAGGTGAACTCTACTTAATCTGCTCAATGGATCACAAAGTTCGAAACGACAAGTTTACTTTGTAGAACCTATTGTCATGTACAGATAGCTTTGACGAGAATAGGTTAAATGGACTAAAAAGGTCGAACCAGGTGGGTTTTTTTTAAATTAATTGATTGACTGGATTTTTTTCTGTTTGGTGTTGGGAGAAATAAAAAGAGTGTTGTTGAATCAAAAAAAGTATTTACTGCGCTATGACTCATCGGATGGTTTTAACCTTCGTAAATATTTTTTTTTCAGTGTTCATATTCAAGGGGAAATTATGTAAAGCATAATTGTAATTAACGCCCTAAGTATCTATTGTGTTTTAGAGAATAGATGAACATTAGCTATTACTATACACGAGTTCATATTCTTATAACTAGCTGGATTTCTTCCATCTCTGATGAGTTTCATAAAGAAGAGCAGTCCTCAATTAAATGTGTCTGGGCATTGTGCTAGACATCATGCTCAGAACTGTAGCTTTTATTTGGTCATTACAAATCTCTGTAATTACATCTAGCGATTTATATTGGATTGCTTTATTTCTATCGCATCCCCGCATGTTTCGCGCCATGTTGTTTACCAATTCTTTTATTAAAAGCCCCTAACAACTACCAATACATACTTTAATATCTAACCTGTATTTCCTTACCTCTGACAGCTACCAATACATTAATATCTAACCTGTTCCTGTATTTCCTTACCTCTGACAGGTACCAATACTTACATTAATATCTAACCTGTATTTCCTTACGTCTGACAGCTACCAATACATTAATATCTAACCTGTATTTCCTTACCTCTGACAACTACCAATACATTAATATCTAACCTGTATTTCCTTACCTCTGACAGCTACCAATACTTACATTTATATCTAACCTGTATTTCCTTACGTCTGACAGCTACCAATACATTTATATCTAACCTGTTCCTGTATTTCCTTACCTCTGGCAGTTACCAATACTTACATTTATATCTAACCTGTATTTCCTTACGTCTGACAGCTACCAATACATTAATATCTAACCTGTATTTCCTTACCTCTGACAACTACCAATACATTAATATCTAACCTGTTCCTGTATTTCCTTACCTCTGACAGCTACCAATACATACATACATTAATATCTAACCTGTATTTCCTTACCTCTGGCAACTACCAATACATTAATATCTAACCTGTTCCTGTATTTCCTTACCTCTGACTGCTACTAATACATTAATATCTAACCTGTATTTCCTTACCTCTGGCAACTACCAATACATTAATATCTAACCTGTTCCTGTATTTCCTTACCTCTGACAGCTACCAATACATTAATATCTTACCTGTATTTCCTTACCTCTGACAGCTACCAATACATTAATATCTAACCTGTATTTCCTTACCTCTAACAGCTACCAATACATTAATATCTAACCTGTATTTCCTTACCTCTGACAGCTACCAATACATTAATATCTAACCTGTTCCTGTATTTCCTTACCTCTGACTGCTACTAATACATTAATATCTAACCTGTATTTCCTTACCTCTGACTGCTACTAATACATTAATGTCTAACCTGTATTTCCTTACCTCTGACTGCTACCAATACATTAATATCTAACCTGTTCCTGTATTTCCTTACCTCTGACTGCTACTAATACATTAATATCTAACCTGTATTTCCTTACCTCTAACAGCTACCAATACATTAATATCTAACCTGTTCCTGTATTTCCTTACCTCTGACAGCTACCAATACATTAATATCTAACCTGTATTTCCTTACCTCTGACAGCTACCAATACAATAATATCTAACCTGTATTTCCTTACCTCTGACAGCTACCAATACATTAATATCTAACCTGTATTTCCTTACCTCTGACAGCTACCAATACATTTATATCTAACCTGTTCCTGTATTTCCTTACCTCTGACAGCTACCAATACATTAATATCTAACCTGTATTTCCTTACCTCTGACAACTACCAATACATTAATATCTAACCTGTATTTCCTTACCTCTGACAACTACCAATACATTAATATCTAACCTGTATTTCCTTACCTCTGACAGCTACCAATACTTACATTAATATCTAACCTGTATTTCCTTACCTCTGACAACTACCAATACATTAATTTCTAACCTGTATCCCCTTACCTCTCACAAATATCAATACATTTATATCTAACCTGTTCATGTATTTCCTTACCTCTGACAGCTACCAATACATTAATATCTAACCTGTATTTCCTTACCTCTGACAGCTACCAATACATTAATATCTAACCTGTATTTCCTTACCTCTGACAGCTACCAATACATTAATATCTAACCTGTTCCTGTATTTCCTTACCTCTGACACCCACCAATACATTAATATCTAACCTGTATTACCTTACCTCTGGCAGTTACCAATACATACATTAATATCTAACCTGTATTTCCTTACCTCTGACAGCTACCAATACATTTATATCTAACTTGTATTTCCTTACGTCTTACTGACAGTTACCAATACATTAATATCTAACCTGTATTTCCTTACCTCTGACAGCTACCAATACATTAATATCTAACCTGTATTTCCTTACATCTGACAGCTACCAATACATTAATATCTAACCTGTATTTCCTTACCTCTGACAGCTACCAATACATTAATATCTAACCTGTATTTCCTTACCTCTGACAGCTACCAATACATACATTAATATCTAACCTGTATTTTCTTACCTCTGACAGCTACCAATACATTAATATCTAACCTGTATTTCCTTACCTCTGACAGCTACCAATACATTAATATCTAACCTGTATTTCCTTACCTCTGACAGGTACCAATACTTACATTAATATCTAACCTGTATTTCCTTACGTCTGACAGCTACCAATACATTAATATCTAACCTGTATTTCCTTACCTCTGACAGCTACCAATACATTAATATCTAACCTGTTCCTGTATTTCCTTACCTCTGACTGACAGCTACCAATACATTAATATCTAACCTGTATTTCCTTACCTCTGACTACTACCAATACATTAATATCTAACCTGTATTTCCTTACCTCTGACTACTACCAATACATTAATATCTAACCTGTATTTCCTTACCTCTGACTACTACCAATACATTAATATCTAACCTGTATTTCCTTACCTCTGACAGCTACCAATACATTAATATCTAACCTGTATTTCCTTACCTCTGACAGCTACCAATACATTAATATCTAACCTGTATTTCCTTACCTCTGACAGCTACCAATACATTAATATCTAACCTGTTCCTGTATTTCCTTACCTCTGACTGACAGCTACCAATACATTAATATCTAACCTGTATTTCCTTACCTCTGACAGCTACCAATACATTAATATCTAACCTGTATTTCCTTACCTCTGACAGCTACCAATACATTAATATCTAACCTGTTCCTGTATTTCCTTACCTCTGACAGATACCAATACATTAATATCTAACCTGTTCCTGTATTTCCTTACCTCTGACAGATACCAATACATTAATATCTAACCTGTATTTCCTTACCTCTGACAGCTACCAATACATTAATATCTAACCTGTATTTCCTTACCTCTGACAGCTACCAATACATTAATATCTAACCTGTTCCTGTATTTCCTTACCTCTGACAGATACCAATACATTAATATCTAACCTGTTCCTGTATTTCCTTACCTCTGACAGATACCAATACATTAATATCTAACCTGTTCCTGTATTTCCTTACCTCTGACAGATACCAATACATTAATATCTAACCTGTATTTCCTTACCTCTGACAGCTACCATCGCCCCTGGAGGATTGTGCCAACAACAACAGTTCCACATCATCTTACTGAGGCGAGTGCCAGGAAGATGCATGAAGATTAGCAGCCGAGGACTCGTTTTTATAACCGACCAATGGGAGAGCGCCACGTACCCTCTGCGTATTGGATGTGAATGTGTTGTCAATCAAAACTCTCAATTTGCTCGATATGCTTAGTTGAAAAGGTCCACAAAATCCAAAAACAGTTTAAAAATCCAATGTAATTAGCCTGTTGAGGTACCAAGTGGCCAGTCTAAGGTTGGCTTGAAGCAATTATCTCCAACAGTATAGCTTTTGAGCAACCTAAAATAATGGCTCTCTTCATGAGAGAGTTGCAAGTACCAATATGCTTAAACACCAGCTATGCAGATAGACCATAGCCCCTGGTACCCCAATCAGAAAAAAAAATTATTTTGAAATATCGTTTCCAATCCTCCAGCTGCAGTGGCGTCACTAGGAGGGGTGTCACCTGGTGCTGTAACCCCCCTCATTAGTCCATCTCAATATTTTTGTTTTTGTGTCAACCCCTTCCTTGCAATTTTCATTAATGGATAAAACCTTGGTTTTTTTTTCTGCAAATTTTGCGATTTTTTAATTGGCGTCACCCTCTAAATGTTGCCACCTATACAGACCAACCCGGCCCTCTTTTGTAACGCCACTGTCCATCTGTAAAGTTGATGCAGTTTAAAAGGTGACTGGATTGAAAGAGATTCTTCATCATAATATATGTTTACAACTTTGGAATTTGTAATTTTTTAAAATAACAGTTAACATACACCAGAGGTTCCCAAAAGAAACAGCAGAGCTCACAAAAAAAAGCTGAGGTACCCCAAGCGACACCGCCCAAAAAAATTAGTTTACATCTATTGTTGCAGAGAACGAATTTGCCACACAAAATTAAGATTATTAAATTGTTCTGAAGTGTTTAACATTTGCCTTAACAGACAAAATGTTGTAAATATAACTCTTTAATTTATTCTTCAATCCACACATCAACTAGTGTTACAATACACAGTATTATCATTAAAAGTTGTGTACTGCAATGGCTAACTCTCACCATGATGCCAAAAATTAAACACATTTTTCAAGTTTTACTTCGAATTTTAAATCTTGTGTTGTTTTTTTAGTCTGATTGTTTTTTTAGTCTGATGTAGTGTTTTATTAACTTTTGTACTGGTGAAATTGACGGTTGCTGCTGTTTCCTTGTTCAAGCGGAAGACCAGTTGAATAATGGTAAGGGAGGTAAATAAAAAATGGGGTAACATTTAAATACTCTCGGTGCATATGGTAAGGGGGGTAATCAACACAGGAACCATCTGAATACTCTTGGTGCTAATCATCATGCTAATGGTAAGGGAGGTAAATCTACATGGGTACTGCATGGTTGGGCGGGATAAGGATGTTTGGGAACTCAGAAGTCCTGAGTTTGAACCCCAGGGAGATGGGGCTGCAACCTATAAAAAGAAAGACAACTCCAAAATTAAATAACTGCTACCTTGCTGTTTGTTTACTGGTTGACAAATGCTATCAAAGAAATTTCATTAAAAAAAAGCAGGCTGAAGTCAGAGTCATGTGGCAGATAGTATGTTGACATGTAATATGTAATTATGTTGAAGGAAATCCCATACAGTATTACAATTAAGATCAAAGAAGAAGATTGCTTAAACAATCAGATTTGCCTAGAGATAAATCATTAAACATTCAAGACAGCAAAATTTGTAATGCTAGTTATTCCAAAATATGAATAGAATTTTAACAAAACAAAGACTTAAAAGTTGTGTTTTATAAAGGTAATTTATTGTATAAAACATAGTAAAATTAGCACCAGCAGCCAATAAATATATAAACACAGTTTTTTTTTAAAGACAAGGCAAATATAGTAGCAGTAGATGAAATGTCCTTTATATAAAACATGCTAAATGTGGTACAGTTCAATAATTCAGCGATACATTAAATAAGCTTCAAATTTTTCATTTAAGTTTTCTGTTATTACCCACAACAAAACACTTGTTTAAAATGTGTTTGTTTTGGAGGTAAGCAAACATTACTTTTATCCAAGCAGGCAAATGTCTGGGCAGTTATTTTTATAGTAAACCTCCCTACATCAGCTAGTGAAGGGATTTTCAGAGTCAAACTTGCATACCCAGAACATGAGCCAGTTTCAAAAGTAATGGAATGAAGTTTCCCTTTTTGTTCTGATACAGAGAGTAACTTGAGTAGAGCTTGTCCACTTTCATCTATATAGAATATACATAACCATTAAAAATTAGGATAGCAAAAAGCTGCAGCAAGATTGCTTGCTATTATAATACTTTTTACAATAACAACTCAACATAAATCTTTATTGGGAGCAACACTGCAATATGAAATATAGATGTGGTTTGTTTTTTGTTTTTTTCACTACCAAATTTAAGTGTACACATTTTATGAACGATTGTGCTTCCACACAAAGTTTGAATGTGTAAACTCACCTAAAGCACAGATCCTCCAACTGTTTGGTGCTTCAGTGTTGATGTGCTCTCCTTCCAACAGCGTCACTGGCAGTTTGATTGTTACTGAGTTACAGCTGACTGGTATTGTGATATCATCAAGGGGAAGAAGCAGATTTTCTGGGGTTGCCTCTCTTTGTTCAACAGAATCCTTACTTTCTTTGATAACCTTGTCACCTCTAGGAAACACAAGTGGTAGCTGGAAATTAGAAAAAATACAAAAAAAAATTTAAATTATTTTTAAAACTTTAAGACAAGGGAGTAAAAAATTCTGATTAGAATAAGTTTTTGCCAAAAAAAATACTGTTGTGTGTATATATACTGTATATATTTCTATTTAAATTTATAGTTTGTAAATGGATTGCGTACAAATAATAAAATTATATCAGCTTCACCATTCTAATGTAAATTACTTTTAACCATATGTTCTTTTTAATCAGACACAAAATAAAGAGTTAAACTAAAATGAAAAACAACAAAACAAACAATTAACTAACTTACTTTGAATATTGTCTTTTCTGATAAATCAATGACTTTAATTTCATGGTTATTAGTATCAGCAACATAAATCAACTTGCTTGCAGGATGGACTGCCAACCCACCAGGCTCATTAAACTCACAAGAGGATAGGTCTGTTGTTTTAATAACTGCTCCAGGTTTACCAGTGCCAGCTAGTGTCTGACATAGTGACGTTTTCAAATCTACGATCTTTATCTAAACAGACAAAACATTCATGCATTTTAGGTAATATATCAAGTTTAAAACAGTTGTGTTTAAAAATTTACTTAAACATAAAAACCTTTTTTATTTTATATGTAAGCAAAGACATAAATATTTTTCCAGTCACTGATAAGACACTAGGGGCAGATGAAATAGAATTCATCAGTTACATTGAACTTGACATAGAAAGGGATAAAGTGGTCAGTACTATGCCCAGTTTTCCCCAACAGAAGTCAGGTACCCATCAGAGCTGGGTGGACTCTGGGACATCCTGCGATCTGAACTTGAGATTTTCAGGTTAGCAGTCTACCATTTGACTACACTGCATCATACGATAAACAAATGCATTATATATGTTAAAAAAAGATAGTTGTAGATCTGTGCAGTATACTTGATCAATCTAAAACAAAAATCATAACTTTGTCATTATAACTGTTTGTTGTTGAAAAAAAGCAAAGATTAACAAATTGTTTAATACCTTGTGATTATATGAATCTGCAACTATGAGATCTTCATTCAATAAAGCTACACCTAAAGGATGTTGGAGCTTTGCATTCATCCCTACCCCATCAGCGTCTCCAAAAGCAAATAGGTTCTATGCAACAAATAAATATAATCAAATAGTTAAAATCATTAGAATAAAATGTATAATGAAATTGCAGAGCTTTATTAAAATTATTACAGATTTGAAAATAACTTTTCCAATTTTGCACTGTTTGTGTGGGTGGGTAACCAACCCAAAAGTCTTGGATTCACTTTGCCAAGCGTGAGGCCATGATATGCCCCAGAAGTCCCTGACCTGATTGGTGCCTGACTCACATTTTGGGAAGTAAAGGTGGCTGGGAATATAACGACCAGACTTTCCTTTATGATACTGAGGTCTTGAAACTGGAAACACTACTTCACCTACTGTATTGACCCATCTGATCTTTAGATATATTTTTACTTTCCTCTTTTTTTATTTGCTTAGGATTTATCTTTCCCATTCTTTTAAAACCAACTTAAAATTGCCAACTGCTTTATAAACTTAAAGAACTTGTTGCTTGCTATTGCACTATGTAAGATACCAATGACTTACTCTGTTAACCTTGTAAAGATTAACATTTCTTCAAAAATATTTTTCTTAACTCACTGTTGGATCTTTATCTCCACCAACAAATCCAGAAACTTTGCCATTTTCCAAAGAAATCCAACGAATACTGGAACTTTCACTGTCAGCCACGTAAAGCTTCTTGTTCTTTGAACACAGAGCTAGCCCTGAAGGCTGTGCAAAACTTGCCTTCTCAGGGTAGGAGTTATTTCTGTTTTCTTCTCTTCCACTACCCGCAAACCTTACACAGGTCCGAGCTGGAAATGTTCTAGTATTTAAAAGATGTAAAAAAAAATGAAAATTAATGAAGAAAATTTAATGTGTTCTTTAAAGCTCTTTGCTACTATTAAATAAACTAATCACAACAAGCTATAAGATAATTTTTTAAATACTCCCTAATTTTGAAAGTAAAATTAACAAAATACTTCTAGACATGTTCTATTTTATACTTAAATGCACTAAATGTACTGAGGAAAAATTTCAATGTGAAGACTTACTCATTTTTTAACCATAGACCATCTGATAGAAAGTATGCCCATATCTGATGTGTTCCTGCCATGGCTATATAAATTACAGGAGCTAAGCCTGTGTAGAAAAAAGCAGATGCATTACACTTTATATTTCCATAGAGAAACAGAATTGTATCTAATATTCTAAAACATTCATTAGCTACTGACCATCTTGTGTAGTCCCTAAAACAACATCCCAGGGTGAAGAAATCTCTTGCTCTCTTGCTACTTTGCCACCCTCGTGGTCCACTCCCTGCTTACCAGTCCCTGAGAGAGTCGTTACTTTGGAGACATTAAAATCAATTTGTCTCAGGCAATGGTTGCCAGTGTCAGCAACATAAATACACCCTTGATCACATGTTACTCCTTGAGGTGACGAAAACTCAGCTGTTTCAAAATCACCATCTCTTAATCCAACATTACCATTACCAACAACAACCTTAAAAACACAAGATTTTTTTCTTAAAAATCAATAGTTATTTTAAAGATAATGTAGACTTATCTCTAAAGTTTAAAATAAACATTCTAAAATAAATGTATTGTAACAAAAAGTAACATAGTTTTTATTCACTATTATAAAAAAGAAAAACCTAAATAAGAAAAACACTTCAAACAGTTTTGTCATACATTAAATGAACTAAACTTTCTTAACAAATAAAAAGGTGTGCTCTACCTGGACAACACCAGACAAGTCTGTAATCACAATCCTATTATTCCCTGTATCAGCAATAACCAGATAATCTTTGTCTTCCCAATAATATATTTTTCCAGGAAAACTGAGACCTGTACCTGCATGTTTATCTTTCTCTAAACATACAGGTAAATGGCAAGGATGAATATGTGTGGAGTAATAGTCTGTAGCTACTTCAAGAAATTTCAAAATTTTTTCCCTGTGTCCTTCACCTGCCAAAGAGTAGATTAACTGACCATTTGGCCCAACAAATACTAAAGTAGGCCAACAAGACACTGACAAAGTCTGAAATTTAAAAAAAAAAAGAATGTTTTTGAGGAGGTAGATCAAGTATCTGGATAAAAATTAAAGAAATCTAAATCAATAATGAATATTAAAACATTTTATTTTTAGTATATTCTTTAAAACTTGTGTATACATTATTTTAAAAACAAATATAATGACAATTCATACTTGCCACAAAATAGCATCTGAATCATTCACTACTGGATGAGAGATGTTGTACCTTAAAACTGCACTTAGGATATTTTCTGTCACTTTCTCATTCAAAAATTTAGCAGAATGAACACCTACAACTGCAACACCTGACTCATGAGGAAATTTCTGCTCTACAATTTCCAAGTCTGGAAGAATATGCATGCAGTTGATACAGCAATATGTGAAGAAGTCAAGAACAATGATGTGACCTTTAAGGTTGTTTTTTATAGACAAGGGGGAAGAAACATTCAACCAGTCAAGACCTGCAACGGAAAATATAAAAACAATTTACAATTGATTACAACCAATATAAATACATAAGCATTAACTACAAAAGTACAAATGATTAAGCTAAACATGTCATGGTGCCTAAGTAAAATATAAACAATAGTCTACAACTTTAAAAATTTTAGTACAGCACTCTTTTTACAGGATAATTCCATTTTATTTTAATTTTTATGGCATGGCATTATTTGACAATGTTAATTTTCTTAATTTTATTAGGCTAATATTATACTACATTATTAGTTACATAATACATAGACTAGATTAAATGATTTTAAAAAAAGTCTATTGTTGAAGACTGTTACTATTTATAATTTAATACCCCTAAATTGCCTTAAAATCATTTTATTTACTAATTTAGCCTAGATCTATATACTCTATATCTTATCTATATATATAATTCTCTTCTGGGAGACGCTAGAAAATAAGCTGTAAACGTGCTCCCTACCAGCCCCACCCCTACATGGTCTGGTGAGCTGTGGTTCACTCTAAATGTTTACAAACAGCTGGGTTTAGTGACGACTATTAGGGGCAGATAATTTAGTTTGAAACGATTTTAAGCGTAGGAGGGGTAACTAAGTGGAGTTTACTTTAACGGAGGGGGGGGGGGTGGGGTTATCGTCCTTAATGAGCAGATAATTTGGTTTGAAACGATTTTAAACGTGGGGGGTAACTAAGTGGAGTTTAATTTAACGGAGGGGGGGGGTATCGTCCTTAACGAGCTACTTATAGTGTTTTAATTAAAGAAATATTTTCAGTGGCAGCGTTGGTAGTGTCGAATTCACAAATTATGAATAACTGAAAAGTAGAAAAAACAACAACTAAATAGCGGCGTATGATATGCCGCGGGTCTGCTCGTAGTAAATAGTATAAGATAAGTGATAAGCCTATTAAAAAATATAATAGAATAATAAAATTAATAAAATAAATATTATAAAATATAATACCAGGAGCAAAATCTGGAATTTGGAAATTAAATGCATCCATTTTTTGTAAATGTTTAGTAATTAACTCTTTACATTTAATATCTTTAACATGAAATATGTCATCGAAATCAGCAATGATCTCAAGAGCACTAAAGATTGACGCTTCCATGTTATTCTCTCGACGTAGTCTAAATATTACTAAATAATAGTAAAATTTCAAATAGAGATCGCGATCTAGAAATTAGGTTTATTTATTTGGCCAAATTATGTTTGTAAATAAGATCGCCAATGGCCAGATAAAAAATGTTTGGATTGCCAAACACTAATTTTTCAAAACCATACGCCCAGACAAACCTACTTTAACTCTCAAAAGTAGCCCCCCCCCCCTCTCCCCTCTCTTTATTTACCACAGCAGTCAATTATTTTTTTTGAAGACCCCACTAAGATAATTTTTGCAAAAAATGCCCTTTGAATCAAGTTGTTTTTGTATTGGAATTTATAGCACTTAATAATTTTTGCTTATGCCTATTTTAAACAGTTGTCTTCCCTACATACGGGAGTTTTCGTATGTTTTGTTTATTTCGTCATCAATCTATGGGTATCAGACAAGGCTGATTCTTCATCTTCAGGATGTTTTTATTATGACCACTTAGGAAACGGCAGCCTAAATTGTAGAGGAGATCGAGTCGTTATTCATTGCTTATAAAATATGGCTGCAAGCCAAACTATTTATGGTTTGCCTGTCGATTGTGTAAGTTTCAACGGGATGTCCTGATAAAGTTAAAATAAAATTGTTCATAAATTATAAAATTTCTTTCACTTCCTCACCTCACCAGGTGACCAGAGTGATGAGTGCTGCTGAGATGATGATATAACAGTTTATAACTTGTAGTCTACTACTAGAATTCTAGACTAGAGATCACTAGATCTAGAGTAGAGACTTTACTAAATTTAGTCAGATTTATTTAGATCTAGCTATACTCTCATCTAGATCTAGTCACTTCTACTTCTAATCTTAAATAATTCATTAATTGGGTAATCTATCGTTTTGGGTACGTAAAATCGCCCGCTGCTATTAATGTACGAATACGTTACCTCATTGTCAAGGCTTTTAATAATTTAATTAATAGGAGTATATTGTCATATGTTTGTGTCAAATATTATAGATAAATGAATAATAAACCTAAATCAATGGCTAAATATATCGATATAGGCCAGAAATTAACTTTAAACAGCAGTGTCTGAGAGCAAGATTTGCTATATATTATATAAACAGTATTAAACAGCAGCCATTTGTAAAATAGAGTGGCTTCCCCCTGAATCGCCCGCTAAATGCTTATAAAAATAAAACTTAAACAAGATGGCTGCTATAGTAAATAAGAATGGTTGCATCTGTTGGAAACATCGCTAGTCTTCATTTATTACGGAAAAGTTTTAATTCAATTGTTTAAAAACAGGTACATAAATGAAACAAGGAAACATTTTTGTATTTTAAAAAACATAAATCCTCCTCAAAATGTAAAATAATTATTAAAATTTAAGGAGTCACCTGGTTTTCACATTGCAAGTCGCGGGCGATTTTACGTACCCAAAACGATAGATTACCATTAATTGTGTAAATTTGTAAATCTACACTTAAGACTTAACACTACACTTAGTACACTATTCTACACATCACTCAAATCTTCAAGATTTAGAAATCCAAAAATTAAATTATAGAGCACAGAATAGTGAAGTGACTAGACTAGAATTTTTGGCTCATAGAAACTTTATCAGCATGACTTTTATGCAAAAGTTTTGCAAAACCACTGCGCCTGCGCGTAAACTGTTCATTTATGAACACCTCCGTTTGTTTTCTCTTTCAAGAATTTTTTAAATGTTGCATGGTACTCACATTTCTATTTTTACACCACCACAGATGAAGTGACCAAGGGTTGGACTTAATGGCAAAACTTGAACAAATCAATGCTTAGCTAAAAGGCTACACTAAAAGTAGCTTCTATGCTATATTACTATATATGTTTCTATATATCTATGGAACATCATAAATGGGGTTTTTTCTACTTACACAATAAAAAAGGGGTGTTGGTTGACATATTAGGCCTTTTTGGGCACACACATTAGAGTGAACCGCAACAGTATACATTTTTTTTATTAAATATGTATTTAGGGTTTTAACATAAATTAGATATATGTTTTATCTTGTGACCTAATTCTATAAAGTAAAAACACACTTTGTATGCGTAAAAACATTTGCCCACTATTGAAGACAGATAATTATAATAGGCTGAGTAATAACTGGTATAGTTGGTCAGAGAGCATGTAGACAAAAGACTGGAGGGACTGGTTGTGAAAAAGGGAAAGTGTCAAAATATGGTCAAGAACGCGTGACTGGTGAAAATGGAAAGTGGGGGAAAATAAGACAGATTGTTTGCGTGATGTGACTTGGCTGGCTTAGCTGCGAACTAAGCTAGTAATGTCAAAGAAAGGTGATTAGTTAATATGGCTTAAATACAAGTATATGGTTATCTTTTTTTGTCAATATAATAGATAATTAAAAAATAATAAACCAAATGCAATATTATATCAAAATAGGCCAGAAATTATTTTAAAATATTTTAGTAACTTTTAAAACATAGGCCTAAATCCCTTAAAATTGTAAAATAATTACTAAAATTGTATTAGTCACCTTTCTTTCACATTACTAGCTTCAGCCTGAAGCAAAGATTACCAAATTTATAGTTATAGCTTTTGTGATCTAGTAGCTATCATAACATTCTCAGCATAATCACTTGTTGTCACTTATCTAAATCTATCCAGATTAGCATTCATAATCATTTGTTGTTTTTTTCTGTAAAGCCCATTTGTTTGGGTGTTTCAGCGGAAACAGGCTATGCAATAAAAAAACCTTTAGTATTTATTTTATTTTTTAAAAAGTGGATGAACACAGTGCATTAAAAGCCAACTTGAACAATTTTACATTATATATATTCGCCCTTACACTTATGCCTGTTGTAGTTTGTGTTTTTAAAAGTTAGCAATGATCATCTACTTAGCCATCACTGTCACTTATTGAATGTAAACCATATTCAGGATTGTATTTAACTATTATCAGATTTTAAACCAATTAGACAAAACATCCATTACTTATCAGTTATTATTTTAAGCTCCACTCTCTTTACTAAACATATGCAATGCTTTTTGGGAAAACAAACTTATATTCTTGCTGTTTTAAGAAAACTAAACAGAACATGCATTATAAATGGTTAAAAATAATCACATCTTATATCTTATTGAACTTTGGATAATTATTTCTAGAAGTACTTAAACATTTGTTTGTACTCAATTGTAGTTTAACAAATAAAAAGAAATTAAAGGTTTTTTTTTTTTTTAATATTTATTTCAGGATGATGGTGACGTAAAACTTATACGTATCAAAGTTATAGAAGGAGTCAATCTAGCTAAAAAAGACATCTTTGGAGCAAGGTTAAAAATCTAGTTTTGTCTTCTTAGAAAAATTGTAATCACTAGTCTTTAAAATATTTACTTATCAAGAAGCACCAAATTGAATAAAATTTGTACTAACTCTTTCTAGAATTGAAAAATGTCTCAAACATCTTTCTGTTTTTTCCTTTTTTATAGTGATCCTTATGTAAAGATTTCATTAATTCAGAAAGGCATCCTTATTGATACCAAACAAACTCATGTTGTGAAAAAGGTAAGCCTTTAACCATTAATTATTATTAGAAAATTATTGGAATTAATATACAACTTAATTTTTTTAAATCTATTAATGTCAATCCAGTTATCACCTGTTATCATTATTTTTATATTTTGCTGATAGTGAACACAATTGCCATATATTTTGTTAAAAGAAATTGGAAACAGTTAATTTTTGTTTAATTAGATCTAATTTTTAAATTTTAGATATTTATAAACCTAATATAAAAAATGAATTGTAAAAAAAAAGAATTGTAATATAATTATTATTTTTTTTTTAAATTTCAGTCTCTCAACCCAAAATGGTACGAAGATTTCATATTTCGAGTAAGTAGATATTACTATTGCTTTATAGTAAACAGGTCTAGGTTGTTATCAAAATATTCACCCAAAATAATAATTTTATTAATACTCTTTTTTTTTTGTGGAGTGGAGGGGGGTGTCTAAGAATATCATTTAGTATGAGGGGATTTATTTATGGAATTGTTAAGTTCAAAAGTTCTTTAAAAATTGTGTTTGTTATATTTGCAATCACTTAAACTTGCTTGTAGTGTTATTATTTTAATAGAATTGTTGCACTAATAGTCTATTAAGTTTGATATAAATACAAAATCATTAAAAATAATTTCAAGTTGTTTATTTTAATAAATCATTACACCATCATAATAGTTTGTTTTAAAAAAATTTCATTTTTTAGTTTTAGGAATGGTAAAATGTGGGGAATGGCTTTTCAAGATTTTTTTTTATTTCATTGTTGTCCAGTAGGGCCTATATATGTATATTTTTTTATTATTCAGGTGAATCCAGAAAATTGTATCATTCTTCTGGAAGTATTTGATTCAAATCGAGTGGTAAGTGGTTTTTAAAATTGTTTTTTAATGAAACTAAAACTTTTAAAAATTATTTGTTCGTGTCCATGATTTAAAAAAAAAAATTTTTTAGACAAAATATTATTTATATCAATCAGACACGAGATGACTTCTTAGGATTAATTGAATTAAATCTCAACCATATGAGTATTTCAACTGAAAGGGCTGGTAGGGATATAACATGCAAGAACTTTGTCCTTAGACCAAGAAGGTGAGAATCTTGAGATTTTTTCTTATTGGTAAAACAATACGCCAAGATGTGTACAATATTTGTATTTCCATTTATAAAATATCTAGTCAGCTACAGGCAAACCAAATGCTGTGATAACTTTGTTTTACTCTATAATTAAAAACTTAATTTTGCTGGTTGATTTAAAATATGTATTTTACAGTAATTTATAAAATTTGAAAGGATGAACTAAAAATGTAATATGTTTATTTGTATAGTTCTCGCTCAAGAGTCCGGGGACATTTATCACTTTACTTGGCATACTGTGGAAATGAAGAGGAAGAGGAAATAGATGATACAGATACAGCATCAGGAATCACATCAAATGAGGTATAAAAGCATTTTACAATTCAGATTTTTCTTACTTTTACCATCCATATTTTCTACAATTCTATCCACTTATTTTGTCCTCAAAAACTGTATCATTTTTGTCATTTATTTATTATTTCTTTATCCTTGTTTAACCATCAAGCAGCCAGGCTGGGAAGTTGTGGAGCTTGAAGCAGCCACACCCACAGATGTAGGAGCCTCTGGGCCTACTGTAAATGAACATGAAACAAATCAAAACTTAAACCAACCATTACCTCCAGGCTGGGAACAGCAAATGGATCCATCTGGAAAAGTCTATTATGTCAATCACACTACCAGGACAACACAGTGGAATCGACCTACAGAGTTAGTGGTTTCTTATAATTAAGTACCTCTATAGCTTGTAAAATACTGTATGCTGGTGACATCCTTTGCTGATAATTTTCTCGGCAAACTGTGAAGCTCATCTTTAGTGTTACTAAACCAATATTTTCTTAAATCTTGATGGCAAGTTTGTTTTCCTGAAGATTTTTTTAATGGGCCATACATGAACATAAAACATCTAATGTATGCCAGATAGACAGTGTTTTTAGAAGGATTAACACATACAGCTTTATCATTTTGTAGATCATCCACCCTGCCTCCAGGATGGGAAGAACGTACTGATGCTAATGGTAGATTTTATTATGTTAACCACAACACAAGAACAACACAGTGGGAGAGACCTACAGGGTAATTGGTTTCTCCTAAAGTATTTTTAAATGTAACATTTGCAGACTTTTTTTTGTAAATGTTAGAGTTTCTAACTTTTTATTAATGAAAGATAATTTGATTTTATTTTTGTTATGTAGACTCTATTAAATTATCTCTTGCATTTGTTTTTGACATTTATATACCGATAGTTATATAACCACTACTTATAAACAGAGGAACAGATTCACTTTCTGCTATAGATGTACAACGTCAGCGTAGTTTAGAAGCACAGCAGTTGTATAGAAATCGTAGACATATTAGCCAAGATGACACACTAAGTCTTACTTCTTCAGTCAGTGAAGTAAATTTACATGGAGAGGAGGAGAGAAGGGTGAGTCATCTATTTCTTTGCATTTAAAATCTATCACTTTCTGTTTTTAATGTTTCTTGGTTAAAAATAGTATGGGGGAATTCAAACTTAATTTAATGAGCACTGCTGCAACCATTCATGAAAAGAAAATTGTAGTTGTGTTTTATGATACTTGACGGAATACATTATGGGGGTCATCCATAAATGACGTCACGCTTTTTTTGACGCTTTTTACCTCCTCCCCCCCCCCCCCTCCCCTCCGTCACACATTGTCACAAAAAGCCAACCCCCAACCCCCCCCCCCCCCCTAAAATGACGTCACACCTCAACCTACAACCCCCCCTCAAAATTGCAGTTGAATTTTTTTTTAAAACATCGATATTTCTCTAAAATCTTGTTTGAACTCATTCAAAATAGAGTATTTTAATCAATTCTTATTACAATTTATTAAAACAGTTTTCTAAAATGCGAAATAACGTCTAAAATTCGTTTTCTAACATTGCTTTTTTATAAAGCAAAAGTGTGACGTCGTACCATCTGGAACCCCCCCCCCCCCCTCCCCCTCATCACACACCGTCACAAAATTACGGACCCCCCTCCCCCCTACAAGTGTGACGTCATTTATGGACGACCCCTATTGTAAACTATAAAATGATGATTTCTTATCTTTTGATTATTATCTTTTTACTTCAAATTTACAGAGACGAAGTATGCCAGGTTCTGTAAGTAAAAGAAAATAATTTTCTTGTGTTGAATTCAAGTCATTAGCATTACATTTGAAAGAAATATCATAATTTACATTGCAGTGTTTTGTTGTTTTATTATGCAGTATTTTGTTATTTTATTATCATGTAGCAAAATGGCAGTGAGGATCAAGAAGAGGAACCTCTCCCTGCTGGTTGGGCCATAGGTATAGCACCAAATGGCAGAACATTTTTTATTGATCACAATACTAGAGCTACTAGCTGGGTAATACATTTTATTCACACATAGCTTATGGCATTTTTATTTAAATGTTTGTTATCTAGAATGCTATATTAAATTAGTAATTCTAGTTCACTTAACTAATCTCATTCTCTTTTTGATATGACCATAAAGGAAGATCCTAGGAAAAGCAATCTGCATCGTGGGGGATCTCTTAAAACCACAGAATCTCCAAGTCCGATGTTTCGATCATCTTCTGTTGAGGATTTGCTTCATAAACTTGGTCCATTACCAGTAAGATTGATGAGTACTTTTCTTAATGCTTTTACTTTTTAAAATACACACATATCTGTATTTCTCGACATGCTTCATATTTTCTATATTTTCTTTTAGCCTGGTTGGGAAGAAAGAACACATGTAGATGGTAGAGTTTTTTTCATAGATCACAGTAAGTTAATATTTTCTATTCATAACATTTTAGACTATTCCTTAAGATTGACTGTCTAGTTTTTGTAATATCAGTAGCATAATCCTTTTTTTTTTTGCTTATAACATGCTTACCTAATTTCATGCAGATAATAAAACAACACACTGGGAGGACCCACGATTACAAAAGATCGGTGGTCCTGTAAGTATCACTTTATTCTGCTTTTACTTTATATTAAACCAAGATCGTATTTCATCTCAATGTAAATAAATTGTTATTGTTTTTTTTTCATTTAATGCAATGTTTATTATGCTTGTATTTGTTTTTTTCACAATGTAGGCTATACCCTATTCAAGAGATTATAAACGTAAATATGAATACTTCAGATCAAAGTTACGAAAGCCTGTAAGTTTTAGCTTTTACTTTGCTCATTTTTATTACTGCCATGTGTTTTTTTTTAATTTATTACTAGATTTCTTGAAAATATGTTTCATGTTATCTGTGGGGATCTTTATAGTTTAAGCAATTTTTTTACAGTAATTGCATTAGCAAATGTATGTACATTTTCTTTTCCAGAGCTCCCTACCTAATAAAATAGATATTAAAGTGACAAGAAGAAATGTGTTTGAAGATTCATTTAGGTTGATTATGGGTGTGAAAAATCCAGAAATGCTTAAGACGAGGTATATTTCAATATATATATATATTTGTGCATGCTACTTTCACTGATTAGAAGTGTAATGTAGTCATGTAAAAATGATGTATCAGAGCAACAGACTAGTTTAGATTATAATTTTTTCTCTACAGATTGTGGATTGAATTTGATGGTGAAATTGGTTTGGATTATGGAGGTGTTGCCAGAGAATGGTTTTACTTGCTTTCCAAAGAAATGTTTAACCCATATTATGGTCTTTTTGAATATTCTGCTACGTGAGTAACAGGCTTAACATTTCAGTGACAGGTTTTTATCTAGAATTTGGAAAATAGCATCAGTATAGAGCAGGGGTCTCCAAACTTTTCAGTCCGAGGGCCGCATTAGCTATCAAATTTCAGTTCGGGGGCCAGTTTCTTCCAGAAATGTCTTTGATTTTTCTGGGCAAAGTTCCTCCGCCATCACCAACAAACGGGTTTTCCGTGAACAAAAGAGTCTCCACGGGCCGGATGAGAGGACCTCGCGGGCTGCATCCGGCCCGCGGGCCGTAGTTTGGAGACCCCTGGTATAGAGTATTAACTGTTAAGCATATTTCACCTAGTATTTATGTTCCAATTGCTTTTAAATAATTACCATTAAGTGTATTAAAATGGGATTGTTTGTAGGTATTTTTTAACAGCTACTTATTGTCTTCATTCAATTGTACTTTAATACATGCAATTCATTTGCACATATGTTGATCTATCATTTTACTTGTTTTTATTCACTTGTAGTGACAATTATACTCTTCAAATAAATGCACTCTCTGGGCTTCTGAATGAGGAACATTTGTTATACTTTGAATTTATTGGAAGGATTGCTGGAATGGCAGTTTTTCATGGAAAGTTATTGGATGGTAGGGATAATTTGAATAATGACAATAATATTTTGAATTGCTATGCACAAATATTTTAATCATGTTTTGACATTTTAATTGTGTATTATTTTTTGTTGTGATTTCTGTTCAGACTCACAGTTCAACCAAAATATCTAATACTAATCATTATATTATGACAAATTTTTTAAAGCATTTTTCATCCGACCCTTCTACAAAATGATGTTAAAGAAATCAATTACTTTGAATGACATGGAGTCTGTTGTAAGTACTTTAATGAGCATGACATTGTCTTTGGCTTATTTTATCATTATAATTTTTTTTAATGTTAAACTTTTTAATTTCTTGCTGTTTTTAATTTGCACATTTTAATCTTTTTTTTTTTTTAAATTATGTTGTATTTATAGTATTTTTGGTGTAACTAAAGTAACTTTTAGTAATTTTTTTTAATGAGGATAAATTATACTTTTCTTTCAGGATTCCGAGTATTATAACTCTTTAATATGGATACAAGATAATGACCCAGCTGAGTTGGAAATGTTTTTTTCTGTAGAAGAAGATCAGTTTGGTGAAGTAAGTGCTCATTACCAGAAAATATACCCACAGACTTTTGTATAGTTTTTTTTTTAAATAATATGTATGTTACAATTTTTCTCTCACTTATAATTTTAAGCTGTAATGGAAGACTGAATGTTGTCACAATTTTACTTTTTCTATTGATAACATTTTAGTTGAATGTTGTGTTTCTAATGTTGATATTTTCTTGCAGATAAAAGAGAAGGACTTAAAACCTAATGGGAGAAATATTCCTGTCACAAATGAAAACAAGCATGAGTATATCAAGTGTGTTATGTTTATTTTTTATAGTTATTCCCTTAATGACTACCCTTGTTAGTTTTTCTTTCAAAAAAAATTAAAAATGTTTTGAATATCAAATTTCTTGACTGGTAAGAAATTTTTAAAATATCAAATAAACTACAACAGTACTATACATAAAGAGACAGCTTGCACAATACTTTTTTAAAGATACCATTTAATTCAGATTTGATTTCTTTATTGTAGCTGTGTTATAAAATGGAGGTTTTCTGCACGAGTTGACAGTCAGATGAAAGCTTTTATGAAAGGATTTAATGCTCTTATTCCTCAAGATCTGTTACAGATATTTGATGAGAATGAACTTGAGGTATCATTTCATAAATATGTCATTGTACAAAATATGTCTTATTGAAAGTTAAAGACAAACTCTTTTTTTAGAGAAGAATATCTATTTTTGAAAATATGGTTTTATTAGTTCTTTGTTACTTTTTCTCAATGCTAACCTTTTTTTACACACCAGCTGTTAATGTGTGGTTTACAAGATGTTGATGTTAATAATTGGAAGCAAAACACTGTCTACAAAGGAGAATATAATCCTAATCATCCAGTCATTATAAACTTTTGGAAGGTAATTTGTTGATATTCTCCTTAAATCTTTGTTGGTTTTTTGTATGCAATGTTTTTTAATAAAATTGATTGTTCAGTTTTCCAAATTAGTAATCATGTTTATTTTATTTCAGGCTGTTTATTCATTTAACAATGAAATGAGGTCCAGACTTCTTCAGTTTGTAACTGGCACCTCTAGAGTACCAATGAATGGTTTTGCTGAGCTGTACGGCAGTAATGGACCACAGTTGTTCACTATAGAGAAATGGGGTGATACAGACAAGTTCCCTAGAGCTCACACATGGTGAGTGTTATTGGTTAATTGTGAACATTATTGCTATACAAAAGTTTCAAATGTATGGTATTTTCTAAATCAACTTTATCTATTTGCTGACTAATTAAAAGCTCATATTTTCTCCATGAAATTTAAGGAAAAAAAATTGTTTAATTTCAGCTTTAACAGGCTAGACTTGCCACCTTATCCATCCTATCATGAGCTGAGAAACAAGCTAATGACTGCCATTGAAAACACACAAGGATTTGAGGGTGTTGACTAACAGGACTTTTTTTTTATCTATAAAATATTTGAAAGGTTGTATTTTTAAATATCAGATATTTTTATTTTATGATATTAACATAGTTTTTTACCCTTGAAAGTAATAGGTTTTCTTAAAATTATTTCTGAGTTTGATGAAAATAGTTACGTTCTAGTCACACCCGTTTCTTTTTTTTTTTTTGCATTTTGGAAAATTAAAAGCATTGGAGGAGTCATGTTTTCAGCTCTCTTGACACTGGTGCTTTATTTGTGGTGCCTGATTAAATCACTGTAAGAATGGATTGTCTGCCTGTTGGTAACTTTTGTAAATCTTCCATATGTATATATGTTACAGCAACATATTCAACAATCTTTTTTTTTATTGTAATTTGGATACATTTATTTTCAAGCAATTATGTTGGATTTCTGGTTGTTTGTAAAAGGAATATTTGGGATAAAGGTTTGTATTGATTGGGAAAACATAGAGTGTGTGACATGTTTTCATTTGTATTATTATGTCCACATAATATAAACTGTAAGGTCATAACAGAAAGTCAAATGTGTTGCAATTTTAATGCATTTTAGTATATTAATTGCATAATAGCACCATTTTTTTGTTTCTTTGTGCTGTCGAGTTTGAGCATGGTTTTGATGGAAAACAGCTTGTGAGTGAAAAAACTGTTATATAGTGTGATGTGAGAATCTAAGCTGAGAAAATAAATATAAATATTTTTTAAATTTATACTTGGATGAGTGCACAAAATTTATGTTTTATAAGTTCCCCACATCATCTTTTTAAACCTGTTCATCTCTTTTTTTTAAATGTATTATACATAAAAATGTAATGTTAACACTTAAATTGCTTTTCTAAAAAAGCCTGCATTAACAACATTCTAAACTCTAAGGGCTTTATTATTTGTGAGAGCAGAATCTCCAAACAATGCTAGCTACTAGGACAAAAGGAAAATGAGTTGTGACATTTACTTACATATAATCACATATAATCACACCTTTTTATAGTCAGATACATTAATATTATGCATCAGTTTATGTGCCCATATATTTTTATATTTTCCATTTCTAAATTATTTTGACTCTTTTACAATCATTATATGGGTGACAATACCTTTTAAGCTATTTAATATGTAAAATGTACACTTTTTAAAAAGAAACTAAATGAGTTAAATATTGTATTATTGTGATGTAACTCAAAAGAATTTAAATAATTTAGAACATTCCCTTAAAACATAAATGAAGTAATTATTGTAATTGTAGATTTATTTATAAAAATGTTCATGTTTGCCTTGTTTTTGTAGAACATGTATTATAGGCTTGTTTAAAGAAAAGTCTTAGTTCAAAAGGTAAATGTTTATTTATAAGGCACTGATATAATTTGTAACTGATAATTTCCTCAAATGTTTAATTAAAATACAGAAAATTGTAGGCCCAATTAAAATGTTAAACATTTATTTCTAAAATCAAGGGCAAATTTTTAACAAAATTCTCCTTTTGGTCTTATTCTGATAATGGCTTATGCTTAATAACTTAGCTTATTTCCTTGTATTTTTAACAAAATAAACATTCTAGTTTTATATTCGTATATATATATATATATTTCGGCGCAGATGGTAAGCCACATTGCAAATTAGTAATTGGGGTTTACTACTAGATTTTAAATATTAAGCTTAGACTTTGACACATAGTTTTGAATACTTTCATTTTTTAAATAATTTTTTCTATCCCAGAGCATGACTTATAAGAAATTGTATTTGTTCACTTGCTAAGCAATTTATTGCCTATATTTTTTATATTGCCAGTGTGCAAGAAAGTGTAAGGATAGGTTAGATGAACTTTAAAATACCTATTGCTATTTATTTCAGTGTTTGGAGGATGCAAATCCTTAATTTTCTATTAAATGTAACTCTTCATTTGTTTACTGTCATTATCCCTTCCCTTATGTTATGACTGTGATAATACACATTTGTAAAAATGAAAATGTTTTTTTGTTTTAAATATTAATTTGTCGTAGATTGTTTCGTATTTCTGTGTACAAGACTAAACTAATCGTCAATGCATTTATCTGACAGTGCACTAATTGTCAATTGTGCCTTTTGGATTTCATCATTGCCACAGTTAACTTGTTAGTTCATTTTTTTTAAAAACCATTTTGTCTACAAGAGGTATTTAATTTGCATTTCAATAATGAATAATAGATTAAATAAAAGTTAAAAAGTGATGTTAATTAAAATTGTGTGTATTGTTATGCTTAAGTTAGTCTCGAAAATGAAAATAGTTTGAGAGCATTAATGAATATTATATAAAATTGTAAAGATTTAGATAGAATGGAGAGGAATAATTCATTTTATTATTGCATGTTTTTGTCTGCACTTTTTAAGTGTAAAGATTTTAAATTTGTATTGGAATTCACTAAAAAGATTTAGGGTAACCTGTCACAAGCTGTTAAAGAGTTAACGTCTTATAGACTAATTTTAAAAATTGGGTTCCGGCACTTACTCATCTAACCATGCAGTTTTAAATTTATGTACCATTTAATTTCTTTTAACACCAAGTCTAGCCAATTTGATTTATGTAAGGTCTTAATTATTTATAGGTTGCATTGTCTCTTATTTTCTGGTGTGGCCAGTACTAATTAATAATGGAGTGAAAAAAAATTAATTCTGGATTTATTATACTTTTGATTATTATTCTCAATATTGGTTGTTTTTTTTTATAAAATCAATAATAGTTTTATATAGGTTGTTATTTAATCAATTTTCTCCGGGATGTTTTTAAAGATTATCCACCTAACACTTACACTTTTCAAAGCAAATCTGAGAGATGTCTCAATGCAATTCTCAGAAATGTATTTTATTTGATATTTTAATAACTTTCATCCATCTGCTACCATTACATATGTAAGTGTAAGCATAACTGGCCTTTGAAAAAATGAAGCGTGCTAAGGTTCTTCATAAAAAGGGCTTAATCTCTTGACCTTTTTTTCTTGTATTCTTTTGTTACTTTTATTTAGTTCAGTGATTTAGATTTGTAAACTTGAGATTCTTAGAATGCTATAAAATAGTGAATAATGTTGAAGCAAATTCTTGAAGGTATCTAAATTTTAATTGATTTGAAAAGTTGATTTTAGCCAATATAATTGCTTTATAAAATCTACAACACATGCTCACTATAATCAGTAGAATTTGCTATTGTTTAACCATTTTCTAAACAGTCATTCTGTCAATTATTTATTAGTATTTAACTGTAGATTATTGTACTTACATCTGCCCTTGCAGGTGCTCATAAAATGGTTATTAGTAATTACATTTTCTAACTTGTTTAGCATGATTTAGTTAGCTATAACTTTTTGTGTCTTGAGTATCTTGAAAGCAGACAATATCTTGAAATGAACACCACTTTTATGATCACCTTCAAGCAGTTACAATAAATGCATTGAGTTTTTTGTATAGAACTTGGAATTATTACTAATATTAATAATCATGGACTGATTTTGTGTACTGCACTTTTAAACAGATGTTTAAATATATATGTTTGATAAATGTTTAGTTGAATTCTAAAAATTGTATTTACTTGTATGTATTTTGTATTGACAGTTTGTTTTTATTTTCTCATTTATGAGGACTAGAAACCTAATAATTTAGTTTGTTACAAAGCCAATTAAATTTAAATGCATTTGTTGATAACAAAGTAAAATTGGTGATCGCAAGGAAGGAATTTTAAGAATAAACTGTTGTGTTCAATTTTTAAAAAAATAAGAGAACATTTGATCAAAATATTTAATCTTTTCGTTTCATTTTATATATAATATTACACAAATTACAATTAATGTAACCAAAAATTTGTAACTTCATGAAAAGTATTTATGGTAAACAGAAAACAGTTTCAAAACCCATTGTCATTCTCACTGTGAAGTATACAAATTTTAATAATATACCCTTAACAACTATGTACATTAAAAAAAAACATTTTAAAAACAGATTTACATTAAAATTACATATTAATTTTCTAAGCTACTGATTTTAAAGCACAGCACAAACAAAATTGACTGGAGGAAAGAATAAATTCCTAAAACATGAAGTATGATATTTTGTAATAAAGTCACAAGTCAACCTTTCTGGCACTTAACATTCCAGTTCAAAACTTGAGTTTATACAAATTATGTGACCAAAAAGAGAATGTCTAAATTATATTAACTGGATGTGGTGGTTCATTTAGATTTAGTGCACTCATCTTACAGATACTACATTGAAGAGGTGGATATGAATGATGACTTTCTCAATATAAAAATAACAAAAGTTTAGGCAAAAGCAATATAATGACAAAAAGTTGATGCCAAACATTGTTAAACAAAAAATATGCATACCATGAGGGTAGAATATCTTTGTGAAAAATCTAAATTAGTTAATGCAAAAACACTTAGAATTCAGAAACATGCTAGGTTAATTATATTACCTATAAAATTATTTTTAAATCAAACTGATGACATTTTTCTTTTATTTAAAGAGATGAAAAAATAGTTTAAAAAAAAAACTTGCAATATTATCAAGCTAACATGTTATAAATAAATATAACCAAAACTAATTCCAAACGTGTATGCACAGACAGAAATTAATTTCAATGACTGCTCACGCAGCTGTGTATCTCCAAAAGCTCTACTGCTTCCAAGGCATATTTGCTCTAGGTATCATGTCTAGTAGAAACTGACGCTGAATATCTTGTTGCTTGGCAAAAGGGATATTGTAAAAAGGAGCACGTGAGAAAGCTTGAAGACCAAGAGGCTGTCCCCCTCTAAGCTGAACTTGCTGTGCCTGAAGGTAGTTATGATGCTGTCTAAGCTGTTCAGCACTTGGTCTGTAATTTGCCACTGCCGCGGCGGCTGCAGCACTAGCAGCAGCAGCAGCTGCACTTGCAGCAGAGATCATTGGGGCCGATGGAAGCTGTGGCTGAGGGGTGTTGCTACCAGAGGGTTGTGGGCTTGGTGTTGGGGTGGAAGCCTGCATTCGTTCTATTTCTTGTTCTTGTTGCAAAGCCTTCACAAATGCTGATTTTAGGCGATTGGTATGCTCCTGCTTAAGCGCCTTCTTTTGATTGCTTGTTACACAATGTTCACAAATTACATTTTTGGATCCAGGTTTTTCTCTCTTCCAAACTGGAGTAAAATCTGAGCCACACTGCACACAAGTAAATGGGGTACAAACAAAACGCTCATCAGGATTCTTTTGACCACGTGCAATGAGTTGAAAGTCTATCATATGATTCACAACTTCCTCAAGGCCAAGTAATAAGATAAAGTCAGGACATGCCAAGGAAGGTATGAAGTTCATTTCTGGTGGGGGAGGTTTTGGCGGGGGTATCTGTAACAATGTCTTTTCTAGCTGTTTTCTTAGCGCTTGCTTAGCAGCAGCCTGTCGTTGTGCAGGTGTCTGGGTGTCTTGTAGTGTAGGTGGAGGCAGCTGAGGTGCTTGTTGTGTTGATGTCTGCCTCTGAGCAGCTTGTTGTTGCTGCTGTGGTTGTTGACTGCGACTGTTTGCATTTCCTCTTGATATACTGTGCTGAGCACTACCACGTGAGTTGTTGTGACCATGCTGTTGGGACTGCATTGTTTGACCACTGTTTGAACGAGCAGACAGTACAAGAGGTGGAGGACCTTGCTGAGAGCGAGATATTTGGTTATTGTTCATTTGTTGCCCCCTCAGGTTTTGGGAGCTCTGACTGACATTTTGTAAGGTCTTAGAATTGGGCTGATTCCCTCTGACCAATGGTGGCGGCCCACCATGCTGCCTTACATGCTGCTGATTTAGCTGATGAGATTGAGGCTTAGGAATTGGAGGTGGTATAACTGTTTCCTGAGGCTGAGTTATCTGACTTTGCCTCAACTTTTTAAGGAGTACTAATGTAGCCTCTTCATTACGCAGCTGGTTTTGTAAAGCTTTTACTTTTTTCAATATGCGTGAACGACGTGACAGGTTATCAGGAGAATCTTCGTCCTCATCAGATAGCATTATGACATCTGGGGAATCAGCCTTTTCCTTTTTTATATCCATATTTTCCTTTTCACTACCTTCTGATTTAACAGTAGAAGTGTCATCTGTTTGGTCTTCAGCATCACTTTTTGATGACTCTTTCTTCAAATTTCTTTTTAGATCATCTGAATCTTCATCCATTGCAACTTCTTCAGTTTTAATATTTGTTTTATCGGATTTCTCTTTTTCATTTAATTCCTTCACATTTTTGTCTGAGACTACATCTTTCTTATTTGACTCTGTACTTTCCTTTGTATTTGATTTAACAGACAAATCCTCAATACCTATCTCAGTAATGGCCTTAACACTTTCTGTTTTGTCTTCATTTTCAACTTTCTTAGTAGATATTTCAAGGACTCCAGGTTCTTCTTCTTTATTTTCACAAACTTCTTTACTACCAGGACTTTTTTCATCAACAGAATCTTTAGTAATTTCAGGGACAGATAATGCATTTTTTGTTTCTTTTATAGATACATTTAAAACATCTTTCATGGCATCATCTTTATCATGTTTAATTTCAGAATCATCTAAAGGCTTTTCTTTTTCCATTCCAGTAGTTATTTTATCTTCTTCAGAAGTTTTATCCCTCAGTTCTTTGTCAAGCTTCAGCCTGAAAAAGATTGGGGTTTTTTTTTTTAAATAAAAAAAAACAGCTGCATGAATTTAAAACATTTAATTAAATACACAATTATTATAGTTTTTTAAGTTACTAAACAAAACAAAAATTCTAGGTAATGTTAAAAATAACTCACTTTTTACTTTTGTTAAAGTCTGTTTCAGATTCAGTTGCTTCAAATAGACGCTTCTTGTCAGTGTTCTCCATATCAGACATTTCTGTTGATTAAAGTGAAAATTTAAATATATATTTGGCTATTAGTAGCCCAAGTGTTGTAAAGAAATGATAAAGACCAATAAAATATATAATATTAAAAGAATGTGACACTAATAAATGGAACTGAGATCAATGAACAAACCGCTCTGTAGCAATTACATAGATGTTTTATTTACTCTACTGTCTACACCTAAAGTAAGTAGAAACATCTTTATTTAAGAAAAAGATCAGGCTTGAAAATGAAACTAATTAAAATTAGTTATTTATCATCAGGCCACTATGTCAAACTAAAATGAACAGTTGGCCTATAGGGTATAGGCCTTTGTCATATGTATAGGGCCTATATACAAAAATTATGGAGTAAGCCTATTTTTCCTACACTGTCAAAAATGGATTTTCCTGAAATATTGTCATTTGTCTTCTTAATAGTTGTATGGGCAGGTTCAGTCTCTGTTTAGTTTTAGTACTTTACTAGAGATAGACTAAGTATTAAGTAAGTAGTCAGTAGAAGAATAGGCCTAACTCAACTGATTTCTTTTTTATTATGATATGGCCTATGGCTGAGTGATATGGATAGCCTAGTTGTTAGGCCTAGTAATTATAAATTATACTTATTATTAGCGTGTATTACGGCATCGTAATTTCTAAGGGCAACCATTTTGGAAATGGCGCTGACTTCCCTTTTCGCTTTTTGTCCCAGGCTTCCGTCACCGCTGCGCGTGAGTCTAAAAATAGACTAACGGCTTGTTCCAACCGGCATTTCGTTGACGCTCTCTGCCTTTCGGGTTTACTTGACATATTGGAAAATTTTTTGGCGGACGATATTTATTAATTTAGTTTTTCTTTCTTCGGAATATTGCTGTCAAAAATAGAGGTAATTTCATCACTTTTTTTCTATTTGAATTAGATTCCAGTTCTTTTTAAAATTTTGGTAGTTCGACAGAGTTTTGCAAATTTTCTTTAAATTAAGTCTGAAAACGGCTAATTTCCCACCAACAAGTCGTTTAAATGTACCTGCAAAGTCTGAATCGATAGCTTTGTAGCCGCCATTATTTTAAAAAGATTTTAAAAATATTGTATATTTAATAAGTTTTTTAAAAATAGCATTATTAAAAAAAACTATTTTACGAAAAAAAGTAATAAGGTTTAATAGTGTCATTAGGTAGATTTAGATCTAGATCTAGATTTAGATCTAGCTAGACTAGACCTAGAATTTCTAGAAATTCTAGTCTAGATCCAGATTATATTATCTAGAAATCTAAATCCAGATCTAGATCTAGAGATTCTATCATTCTAGTCTAGAGTCTAGTCTAGATTCTTAGAATTAGATCTAGATCTAGATCTAGTTCTAGAATCTAGATTAGATCCAGATGATCGTCAAGCTAGACTCTAGACTAGATCACTAGGAGAGGCTAGATCACTATCACTCACTAGATCTAGATCAAGAATCTAGATTCTAGATCAATTTATGAAACCTAGAATCTCTAGATTTAATAATAGATCTAGATTCTAGATGATGTAGATTTATTCTATACATATTCTATAGTATAGTACAATTAAGTGTATAAGGCATAAGCCTAATCTAAATTATTTTAGAAGATCTAGATCTAGATCTCTATTAAAAAATTAATCTAATTTTCTAGATATAGACTCTAGAATCTCTAATCTACTTTTTTTTTTCAGTCTGTGGTCTTGCAGCTCTTTGATAGAAATCTGAGTGAGAAATCATTCAGCCATCGGAATCACGGTTAGATCTTTCTGATAAGTGACAGTACTTTAAGTGATCATAATTATTTACCTAATTATTAATTATAGACTACTTTTAATTATAGATCTACCTATTTAGTGTTAAGTAATTAAATGTAGATCTAGTTCTAACTTACTTCTACTCTAAACTCTAAACAATAGTAACTTTTTACTAGACTCACAATTTTAAAAACAAATGGTTTTTTTGTGTGTGAAATAAACCTAGTAGGCCTAGTCTATTTATTTTAAAATAAACTTTATGCCTAGATATCAATATCTAAATTTTCCAAATGCATTTTCAGAAGTTCGAATGAGGAGATGGAGATGGCTGGGCCATGTCCTACGCATGAGCAAAAGATGACTCCCCCAACATGGCACTGGAAAACGAAAGAGGGGAAGACCACTGGGAACATGGAGGAGAGAGATGGAAGAAGAAGTGCAAGCTGCTGGCAAGACCTGGCATGAACTAAAGTGGCTCGCCCAGGACAGAGTGGAATGGCAGGGATTTGTTGCTGCCCTATACTCCACAGGGAGTGATGAGGATTAAGTAAGTAATTTGTAATAGACTACTAATGTAACAGACTTTTTTCTAACACTAATTGTTTATTTTAGTATACTAAGTCATGACTTGATTCATCAACTTACAGCTATAAAATACAGTTGCACAGAACTTCCTTTATAATTCATATTTTTCTACAATAAGTAAACTAAGAAAAGATACTAAATCATTGCAGAGAAAGCAGACACAGATCCAGTGTTGGAAGAGGAAGTATTTTATATAAAAGAAAAAAAAACAACAGATGTCAAAGCAGGTATTGGCTGGTGCAGAAACAGCATGAAAGGGTAAGTTATTGATGATTTCAAACATAAAATATGCTAAATTGCAGGTTAGGTTTCAAAGAACAACTGGACATCTTCAGCAAGAGAATTGAGAACCAAGATTGATAGTATTAAATGGGAGATGGATTTGCTGACAATGACAGTATTGAAGGAGATAGATGATGCTTTACGAGGAGAAAGGGTCAAGATCTCAGTAAAGAATGACATTGTTCATGCAGAGAATCTCAAACTGATTGAGGAGTTTGACAGGGTCATCGACACAAACCAGTTACAGCACAAAATAGACACAGGCATTCAATCTCGAATAAAGCAGATGAAGAAAAAGTTGGAAGCTATAAACGCAGAGATACTGAAAATTCCATCTATGATGTGTTGTCTGGATCGAATGTCTCAGTAAACCATCCCCTATTTCGTGGTGTTGACAGAAGTGGAAACCCTCTTTGTCAATGCTGTTAATCCTTGGACAGCATGATTATTAAAAATTTGAGCTTTAAAAAATAATTAATGTTTCATTTTAAATTTGCTTTGTTCCTTTGTTATATATTTTTATGTTTACAGTTACATGCAATGATTGCAATATTTATGTCTTTACAATATGTATATAATTTCTATTTTTTCAAAAGTGCGCTAAATTTTTTGTTAAAAAATAAAGGTTGGTATGTAATGACATGGTATTATGTTTTTAATCTTTTTTTTTATATTTTACTTATGGTATTCTAATTTGATACTCAGTATAGTGTAAACAAATCAAATAACTTTTTTTTTCTTTGCAGATTTTTGTATCTTTTCTGGACTGATGACTTTCATTCAACCTGATCATTTTTTAATTTGCATCAACTAAAACATGTTATAATAGTTATATAAATCACTTTGTTGTACTCACACCTTAAACTTAAACCCATTATTACTTTGTACTTTTCATTGATAATTGAAATTTATATAATTGCATCTAAATCTAATAAATAAATATTTTTTGGAAAGCAAACCATTTTGGTTCTTTTTATTTTTATCTTTTGTTTTAATTTGAAACCAGGTCTTGTATAAGAAATTATACTGGTGGATCTGTCAGAGTAACACCATGTTTGCACTTACCACATGAATACTATACATGTCTAGAAAAAAACAACTTGCAATGAGTAAGCCTTCATATACATGTTTGGATAAAATAAGCTTAAGCTGAAGTTTTTTCTCTAGACTTGCGCAATTCACAGCGCAACAACAGTAATTGGAAGTAAGCAGTCAATAAATAAATATATGTATTAGACACCAAATTACATATTAAATATTTAGAATGAATAAATAATCATAGTGAGAGATAATGGTTCCATTAATTAGTATCACTAGCTTAACTGATGAATTTGTATAACTTACTATAATGTGTTCAAGCAAGGTTAATAATATTGATAATCTATAGGCCTAACTATGAGAAGCAGCTGAATACCTTTGTAGAGGGCCTATATAAACTATATTATAACATTTTCACTATTTTAGACAATGGTATTGGTATGAAATTGTTGTACATGTAGGGCCTTGGCTTACACAAATGTTAAAATCTAATAATAAAAAAAAATATTTTGCTACTACTACATGGTGGTTGTAATTCAAGTTTTCAGTAGGCCTATGCCTAATAATTTATTCAATTATTAATAGGCCTAGTTGTGTATAGTAAATATAATTTTGATAAGTCTAACTCATAATAAAATACTACATTAACAATTTATATTAAAATGACGAAAAGTCCGAAAATATAATTTGACGCGTATGACGTCATCAAGTTGTGTACTACCAATATCGGAGACACTTTTTTTTTTAATGTAAGTAGGTATTCAAAATGAAATTTTTATAATGAAATTAAATAAAATTTAACACTTCCACCTGATAGAGACTGTTTTCATCAGAACAGAAACACCAAATTTATTGGTGTATGTCCATTTTTAAAAAAGTTATGAATTTTTTAAAACTCAAAAAATGCGTTCGCTTTTTGAGCAGTAAAGGGTCTATTTGAGACCCCTACTAACTTCTACAATAACTAAGTTAGAACTCTCAAATTTCTTGCACACACAGCCAGTAATACAAATAGCAAACCCAATTTTTTTCAAGGTAGTCAGACCGATATAAATAGAAAATTTATTCACATAAAAATGAGCCAAAGCACAATTTTAACGAAGTACGAAAAGGGAGACAAAAAGTTAATTTACAGTCATTTTTAAAAATCATAGAAAATCAACTAATTAAGCCACATTAATAATATAAATGTTCTAAGAAAGGAAATTCAAAGCATGTTAATATGAAACAAGCAGGTAAAGAATTAGTAAAGAAAGTAATTAGCGAGACCAGATTCAGCAAGGTCAGTTTATAAAAATTTGAAATTTCATCCTTTTTCAAAAAATGATTTAAAAATATTTAAGTAAGGTATCTTAATAAATCTTACACCAACTTAAAGCATATGATGTTCTTAATATATAATAAACACAGAAACATGAAATAATCCTTCTGCAAAACAATACAAGGCATCCTTCCTTAACGCCCAAAATCAAGAATTTTCATTACCTAACATCTTGCAAAAAGTGTTCTTACTTTTAAGAAAGTAATATAAATTGTGTAGGATACATGGTAGCATTAATTTGTTATAAAAAAACTAAATAACTATACTATTACTTTACTTATATACTATAATAATAAGAAATTCCATGCATTTTAAAAACTGACGAAGTAAGATAACTAATAGAGTTGTGATGTTCATCTAGTTTTGTTACTCTGGTTCCTAATCATGACTTGTTTAGCATAAATTTACTTGTTACTAGTATATTTATTTCTTCTAGTTAGTTATTGATCAAAGTCAACTTCTGGAAATGTCTAGGTCCTAACTTATACAATTATCAGAAATCTTAGAGCAGGTTCAAAAAGACAGGTCAATATCCTGATTGGGAAAGTTCTCTATTAGGTTGGGTAGCATTGTAATTAATAGTCAATATCCTGGTTGAGTTTGTCTTCTTCAAGGTTTGGAGTAGCATTGTAATAAATGATTGTGAACTGGCAGCACACATCAAATTATGGAATCTAGTAAGGGATCCTTCCATTGGTCCAGAGTAGAGAAAATGTCTGTGAATAAAAACAATTAATTAGCATTTCAAATATACTGACTTATATAGCAGGCCTGTATATCTTTATACCAACTTAGATATCAATCATGTAACATTACATCATTATAAATAATAAGCAAAGTGCATACAATACTAACATTTGACATATGGTTTCCTTCAAAAGTATTCAGGAGTCCTGTTGGTGCTTACAGAAACAATACATATTTTTTGGCAGGCCTTTCAGTTTCCACTTTCTTTTATGCTAATATCTTGCTCTGTAAATAGAATAATAATATTAAAAGTAAGGCTGCTCAATGCTTTTTAGATATTAAATGTAAGCACTATAGATAGTTCTACTACTAAATATTAACATGAAAGCAATGGTGAATCTAACTAATCTAAGTAGATCTAGAATCTAGACTAAATCTAGAAACCACTTTGGCCTAAACTATTATGGAAGGGGGGCTACATTTTATTTTAAGTCGTCTGTACAATAAATCTAGAGATTAAAAATGTAAAAGATCGTAATATTCTAAAATTTAATGTAACTACTGCACATATATAGAATAGTTAACTAATAAACTAGGAAAGACAACAAAAAACAATGCTACAATAAATTGAAAGTATGCTGTTAACCGCTGCGGTAATATAATAGTTGAACCCAACACTACGAGAAAGTAAAAAAAAAACATGGCGGACAGTCGGCTTGAAATATCGACAAAATGTGGATAGTTTAATCGGCCGATGTTATTAACTAACATAATTTACTAAACCAAATTAAATTCTATCATCCTTTTAAACATCTTTTTGATTTAATTGTGCATTCCTTTTTTATTTCAGTGACCATAAATTAAATACAACGGACTTTTAAAAAAGGCTAGATAATTTTTTGGAAATTTTTTTTTTAAGCGTGGAGCAATTACCGATAAGCGGACACTAATATTCAAATGTATTAAAGCAGCAGTTAATTATAAATAAATAGAATATAGCTAGTAATATAATGTGCATTCAACTTACCTGCACGTGCTTTTAAATCCACTGTAATCAACGAATAAACACAAAATCTTGCTCTGAACCGAGGTCGGGTGTTCCGGAATTCAACAAAATCTTGACTCAAGCCGGCGAAATTTAGATGCGGGTCGTCGCGATTTGTATACATTGGTTTCATTTACTGCGGTCCGACCCCATACATGGAGTGTTCATTAAATCGTAACAGTTTTATGGCAAATTGGATGCCCTTTCGGAATATACAACTTTGGCGGCTGTAAAATTATTTTTTCATGGAAAAAAAACATTTTAAAATTTTAAATTGAACATTTTTAGCATTTAATTATATTATACAGCTGGTAAAGTTATACCATCTTACAGAGCTACCATTCTTCTTTCTAAATCAGTGGTTTATAATTGCGTATGTGTTATGGGGTCGGACCGCCGCGCGATGCCGCAACGCGACCAAAATTTTTTAAAACCGGCTTAAATTTTTCGGCTCATTTAGAATACCTAATGTAAGAGGAAAAATAATGGTGGCAGGTTAATCCAAATTTTTTATAAACACAAAAATTTTAAAATCGAAATAGGCTAAATAAACTTTTGCTAGACACACACAGAGTATAAAAAGTAGTTTCAGTAAAAAATTACGCGTCGATCGGTATCTTTTCCTCCCGAAAATAGCGAATTTTCAATTTTTGAAATACACGCTATTATTATATTATTATATTAGTCTACCAGTCTAACCCATTGAATAATTTTAATTTGTACCCAAAAGGCTTAAGTTAAATTGTTATAGAATCTAACATAAATCGTTTTTCAACGATGACAAGGACTGGATTAGCTGCAGCGTTTTAATGCCATCACTCACTGCCTGTACACAAGGGCTGGGGACGCGAGAGGGGTTGTACAACATCCTGCCAGAAATCCTGGCACATTTCTTTTTCTTACTAGATCTATCACTGCTTACTACGGGTCTGTTAGGAAGTGAAATGCTTTTTCGACTGTAGCAAGCGTAGGGTTAATCCAGCATTTAATTTAAATATACTTACTTTTTAATATGTTAAATACCAGAGAAGTAAAGGGGGGTTGGTGAAATTTAAGTTATATTTATTTACTTAGATTTAGGGAATATTACAATCGTTGACCTCCATTATTGATTTAGCAACATGGCGACATGTTGGCAGGAGCAACAAAAGAAGTGCAGTTAAATTGATAGTTCTGAATTATACACATTACGCATTTGAACTTTTAAGAAAAAAATAAAAAATGCAGAATTTCAGATATTTAAAATATAGAAGAAAATACATTTAATTCAGTAAAGTATTCACTATAAAAAATTATCCATTACTGTTTTATTTAAAGTTAATTGTGTATGCAAAAAGTCAATTTGGCATATTGTATTTAACTAGGTCACACATTGTTAATTAGGACTGCTGGTCAAATACTGTAAACAATGTTAGTGTGTAGTACGTTATATTAAAACACCAAAAACGCATTATGTGTTTCAAAATGCATTTTTAATAAATAAAAATACTTAACTTTATATATATATATATATTATTTTAACTAGTGCTACTATTTAACAATCTTACCCTAATCATCGTATTTTTTATTCTAAAATAAAATAAGCCTAAAATACCTCTAGTGTCCAATTTAACTTCTTAATAGGCTAATAGTATAATAGGATACGTGAATGAAGCATGATTAAAAATTAAAATTAAAAATAGATTTAGAAAAAGAGAGGGATGTTGTGGTTACATTTGGTAGTAGTTGGATCTA